ATCAATTACTACTACATAAAAACACGAGTATGTTTAAATGTTCCTAATTGTTGTCATCATCAAACAAACAAAAAATACAATTTAGCAAAATACATAAGATCTGCGAGACTGCAGACTTGAGTAATTTGACTCACCTGTTGTAAGTTGTAAATTGTATCTAAGGTAAATAACCTGATATATGACTCTTTTAAATTACATGTACTATGTCTTTTTTTATTCCATCCTTCAGAATTTACATTTTTTATGGAGAAAGTGGAACTCTTTTATCATTTAAAGTGTTCCATAAATCTTTTATGGTTTACGTTTGTATACCTCAGATACAAAATGTGTTTTAAATGTTTATTGACACGTGACATTTACATCAATAATTGATTGATTGACTGAATTTAATGTTCATGATAAGATGTGTTGTTATTTACATGTTTGTTTGTTTACTGTAATGTTGTATTTTACATATATGCATAATTGATAGTTAATGAACCTGTGGAGACAGGCACGCTCCAAAACATCGATTTCAACCACGAAATCGATCTAATTTTGTTCTGTATAGTGATATTGTGTCATATAGGTAAGAGATCCCAGAGGGATCTTGGCGCCGTGGATTGTATGGTCTTTATTATTTCTTTTTCAGGTGAGTCTTTTCTCGTCTTTTTACCCCCGATCTGTCATAAATAGACAATACAAAACGAGGACGAAGGGTTACAGTCAAGATCCATTCAGAAATTCCGAAGAAATAGTGACAAACTAAAGTCAAAATCTAAGACGGCTCCCTGACAGCCATTTTGTCCTTCCAAATAGTCTCAAAATATACATTATTGTGCAATGCACAACTAGTGACAAATGGAAACCTGTACATAATTGGAAAATGATCCATTTCGAATTTGACAAACTTTAATTTTCAAAATTCAAGATGGCCACCTGCCACCTATTTTGTTTCCCCGACTAGTTCCCAAATCTCCAATGCACAACTAGGGATCAAAGTAAACCTCGATTAACATTTTGAGAATGATCCATCCAGTTCTTTTCACGAAGACAGTAAGAATTGTTGGAGGTGGTGACAAGGTTAATGATTGTCGGCTAAAAACTCCCAACCAACTCAGTTGTATAATCTCTAGCGAAAAGTCGTCAGTCGAGTATTTTATACGAAAATGACTGCAAAGCAGCATATTTAAGAGAGTGTGTCTTCGATCTTAATGAACAGATTAATGAGAATGACTCACAGTTTCTTTTCATATTTCTTGTAATAAGAAGTGACCATATTTTTACATTTGGGCAATTATTGAAGAAACAAATAAAATAATAGTCTCTATGTGACTTGATGAAAAAATGCACCAGAGAGCGTGTAATGACGGTATAAACACGAAACCGAGAACAAATAAACAACTACGACATCATGAAAAAGCCTTAAAGTGTTATTCAATTTAGATAGACGTTTAATATCTAACTCCAGAACCTTACCTATTTTATGTGTTCATAAGTACGTTTGTTCTTTTGTTTTGAATGATCACAATTCATGACATTATACCACTTAGATTGTTAAATCAAATATAATAGGATCGATCTACAGAAAAGTTAATTAGATTTGGTTCTGACATTAAATTCCTCGTATAATCTGCTGACAAAATGATATTAAAGCGTAATGAAACATAAAAAAGCACTTATAATACAATATTAGCACCACTTAATGAATTGTTCTGAAGTGTTTCTAACGTAACTAGATTTAAGTGCTTCTCTTTAAGAACACATCAGAATCTCTCTACACTAAATTGACATTGTTTTTATTGTCACAAAAACTTTAAAATCTCTGCAGATACATGGTTTGTTTTTAGTTTTAGTTAATAACTTAGAGTTAAATGCGTCATATAATGTTAAACACGATTGTTTACAGTACATCACGTGACTCATAAAACCTTCCTGTAGATTGTAGTATCACTAGTGAATAACACCGACATTAAATCTAAATAAGATAGAGAAGGGCCAAACAATATGGTTCCAAGTCAATGTGGAAATAAGTTTGGTAGTTATCCTCAAGCTTGGAAACTGGCAAAAATAATGTCTCTCTTCAAAATGGATGATATATATCAAATATCTAATTATCAACCGATTTCTTTGTTATCCTCAGTTTGTAAAGTTTTTGAAATGGTTGTTTTCAAACATAGCTATAACTATCTTTAGGAAACTCACTTTTAATTTAAATCAGTCAGGTTTTATGTAAAATCATTCCACACTTCATCGATTTATAGAAATGTATCATGATATTTATGTTTAGCCCCAGAAGAGAGAAACATGCTTGTTTATTGTTCTATGACATTGCTAAGACTTTTGACCGTGATTGGCACAAAATGATTATCACTGAATTAAAGTCTTATTGAATATCTGGTGAGCTGTTAAGTTGGTTCTCTAACCAAAGTGAGCTCTTAAGTTGGTTCACTAACCAGGTGAGCTGTTGAGTTGGTTCACTAACCTGGTGAGCTGTTAAGTTGGTTCACTAATCTTTTGAACTGTTAAGTTGGTTCACAAACAGATGAACTTGTAAGTTGGTTCACTAACCAGGTGTGCTGTTAAGCTGGTTCACTAATCTTGTGAGCTGTTAAGTTGGTTCACTAACCAGGTGAGCTGTTAAGCTGGTTCACTAATCTTGTGAGCTGTTAAGTTGGTTCACTAACCAGGTGAGTTGTTAAGCTGGTTCACTAACCAGGTGAGCTGTCAAGTTGGTTCACTAACCAGGTGAACTGTTAAGCTGGTTCACTAATCTTGTGAACTGTTAAGTTGGTCCACTCACTTTCTATCAGGTTGGCAGCAGAAAGTATATTTTTTCAAATTCTGTTTCTCGTGCTGGTCTTATAAAAGCAGTAGTACCTGTCATAGACATTTGGGAGTCGTTCCCAACCCCGAAGGTAAAAGGGGTGGATATAGCATCTATTCATATATCTGTTATGAAGAAAATAAATGTTCTTAGGAGCCTTAAGTACATGCTGTATACACGTCTTTTATCTTGCCGAATTTTGATTACTACTGTAAATTATAGGATGGATGTAAAGTTAATGACTGTGAATTTTTAAAGAAAAATCCCAACGTAAGGCAGAACGCATCATCACCATTCCCCCATTCTATGCTCCCAACGACTCTATTTCGAAACAGGATTAGAAAGACTATCGGAGAGAAGTAAAAGAAGGAAACGTCAATTACTGTATGAATAATGGTCTTACTTCAGATTTTCTTTATAGAATTCTTCCTAACACAGTTAACCAAGATGTCAGATATCTCTTAAGAAAATGCTAACGATTTTATCTTACCAAATTTCATACTTTCCTCTACTAATTCATCCTTTCTTCCTTCTAATTTCCATTCTCAAAATAACCTCGATGTTGATGTTAGATCGTCAACAACTTCAGTAAATTAAAAAAAAAACATCTCACGTAATAAAAGTACATCTTCTCCAAGTTGCTTTGGATATGGTGAACGCAAACAAAATATTATTGATACAAAATTAAGGTATAAATGTAGGTCACTTAATTACCAGTAATTAATCTTAATTCATTTTTAAACTTCATACTGACAAATCCCAGAAGGTTGACACATTGTACGCTAAAGTTTTCTTTACAGTTTGCTCAACTATAACTTATTCTAAATATATTTAGACAAGGCGGTATTCTTTTGGCTATCATACAACCCTTAAATTACAGCTTTCAACTCTCATCATCGTAAAATGTCGATGAAACTATCGGTGGCATTCTTTTGGAATCAAATAATAGCTTAACATAGTATTTTCAGGATTACTATACTCTTATAGCAAATTTGCAAAATGTACTCTTCCTGAATGTTGCCTAAATGGTTGCTGCTGCATGCAACGTTAAATTTGCGAAAGAGTCCGTCTATGACTTCTAACGAAGCAAGAGAGATAACCGTTATTTTTTCGTAGTAATTTAGCGACAAAATTATCAGTGTGTATTTTATGTTGTTCGTGACACAAACCGGTATTAACACAGTCGTCTATCCAGGTATTCTTCAACGTTATATTGTGTGTCACTGTGTACCTTTCGTCCCGGGTTTTCTTTTCTTTTTGTCATTGTTGCATTCGTTCCTGTTCCCGTCTTTCTGTTGTTTTCGTTCACTGTTGGTGAAACCTCTGTCCCTGCTTCGCTCTCTTTCTTGTTTGCGGTCACTCTGTTGGTGAACCCTTCGTCCCTGTTTCGTTCTTTTTCTTGTTTGTGGTCACTCTGTGGTCATCCTTCGTCTCTGTTTGCGCATTCTGGTGTTTCTGTCACTCTGTTGGTGTACCCTTCGTCTCTGTTTGCGCATTCTGGTGTTTCTGTCACTCTGTTGGTGAAACCTCCGTTCCTGTTTGCGCATTCTGGTGTTTCTGTCACTCTGTTGATGAACCGCCCGCCCCTGTTTGCGCATTCTGGTGTTTCTGTCACTATGTTGATGAACCGCCCGCCCCTGTTTACCTCTTTCTATTGTTTTGTATTGCTGTTTTGGAGTACCCTCAGTTTCTTTTTCCGTCTTTGGTGTCTACTCAACTTTTAATTTATGATAGCAGGTTGTAAGATATAAAACAAGATGAAACCCTTACGCAACTTTCAGCAGTAAAACTAATCTTGTTGGACCTTTTGCAATTTCATATTCCCTTCTATTTAAAAACTAAAACCATTTCTCGCCAGTATAAATAATCCGAATGGCCTTTCTGTGTATTTTCTTTATTCAATTCTTGTCTTAACAGCCATCAACCAATACAATAAACTCTATCATTTCTAACTTCAATTTCCATTCCAGATGTCCTCCATTTTTGTATCGCTACGTAACTGCGACAGTATTAAATTCGCAATCTCATCACTACTGGTCAAAATTAAAGTAAATCACAAAGTCAAACTCTTCTTATAGTAATAATGATGTAATATATAAGTAACTTATACAGTAGTACTAGAATGATTCTATGTGAGATCAGACATCATTTAACATACAGTGATAATTACATCAGACCTATATAACTAACACGACTAGAGATATTTATTTAGCAGGTCCTGAAGTGTCGAAACACTAATATTTGACCCACAAGATACGATCACAACCTTCTGGCCTTTGAACTTTTCTGGGTTGGACATAAAAGCTCCCAGGGATACGCCTGCCGACCCCTCAACAATCTGAAATATGAATTGGAACAAATTCTTTCTTCAACAAGAATGAAAGCAAGTAAAGTAGCAATGATTTCAAATCTTGATAAAAGTGAAACTCATTTTAACCGCTACTTTAATGCAGAGAACGTCATTATTTAACAATTATTTCACTAACTAACTCTACAAGAAACCTACTGATTTAGGTATAGTCATTTACATGAATCTGTACGTTTTTGATCGTTAACGGATAGGCTTTCGTTATCTCGTCCCTCTAAAACTAACATAGAACAAACTAAACAACAGTTACAGACCTAACTACCGACATGTAAGGCCATACCTTGTGGTGAGTCTGCATCATATATACTACCGACATATACCACTATACCTTGTGGTGAGTCTGCATCATATATACAAGTGCCTTTCCTATTTGTTCCTCTGTAACCAACATCCATTCATCAACATAATCCCGACAGAGCTCAAACGTCACCTATCAATGATCATTCCGCTGTTTACATTGGTGCCAGAATTAACACACATTAGAATTGTATTACGACTACTCGTGTACTCAACATTCAGCGGAGCTGTGATTGGCTACAGGTTCCGTTGTTTCAATTATGACATCATAAATTCATGTCATCATATATATTGTGACGTCACAAGTGAGAGAGATATCGACTGAGAATTTCGCAAAGTTTGATTTTTTTTATCGGTCTAATGAAGTGCCGTTTTTAAGAACGCTCAAAGAGGTATTTAGTAAGGTGATAAACAGAATATTATATTCGTTTCCATTGCTGCATACAACGAGATGAGTTAAAAAACCTGTTCAGTCCAGAACATAATCTGAAGAAGCTTAAATTTAGAATGTATTAAATCTTTGTGTGTTTCTATGTCTCGTAGTGGAAATTTTAATTCTAAGTGATTTATGTGTATTGTATGACAATTTAAGTTTGTACAAGTCTTTCTTTTATTCTTTAAATGTATGTAAAATTCGTAAAAACTGTACAACATTAAAATAAAGTTTTTTTTTTTTTTTTTTTACTTTTTTTTTTTCAATTTTCATCAATTGATATCAAGTTTCAAATAGAGTTCTTACCGAATTGTCCTCTACAGAACCTGCCGTTCCGTCCGACAAAGTATCGAACGATTCCTCAAATATCAATTTCTTCGCTTTCACGCTTTCGTGCATAACTTTTGATTTCTCTGGAGAGCAGCCAACGATCTTGATATAAAGGAAATGAAAATCAAAACCAAAGCAAATATCTAGAGCTGTGATGTAGTACAACAATATTCATCCGGTGTCATGTAACCACAGTGGATATAGCCACACTGGCCACGCTCGTACAAACCCCTCTACCCTAACCCTAACCAAATATCTAGAGCTGTGCTATAGTACAACAATATTCATCCGGTGTCCTGTAACCACAGTGGATATAGTACGGTGCTGCCTTGTATCAGAGAGGGCTGCTGGAGTGTGCGAATCAAGAACGAAATCTATAATAGAAGTACAATGGTTCTTTTATATCTAACACTTTACTGATTGGTTTCTCAATATACCTGGGAAATAGATACACAAAGATCTCATTGATGACTTATTTCCGTGATTGTACGGTTCTTTATGGTGTACTGATAGGATCAGACGACTACAAGTATCAAGTGTTACATAAAAAGTCTGCTCGGTAATCTCCTAGATATATGTTATTGTTATCATACAGATTTATGTTGCCTTACCTTTATTGTTGGCTTTACTTGCTTGGCATATCTGGCTATTCCACCAATCAGTCCACCACCCCCAACTGACACTAAAATGACATCAACTTCCGGTAGTTGTTCTAAAATCTCAACACTGTGCAAAGGAAAACAAAACAACAACAACAACAAAACTAGTGAATTCGTCATGGCGCCGATAAACATATTAGAACACATTTGTTTGATTTGTATTATCTAATACCACATGTCTTGTTAAATAAAACAGGAAAGTAAATTACTTTGGTTGATACACTAACAAGTAAAAATTACAAAGAAACGAGTGATGATGAAAGCATCTAAAGCGACTTAAAGCACATGCAGATTTTTTCCAGAACTTTAGAGGCACTTACAAAAAACGTATCTATAAATATCGATACCAACCCATATAACAGGTTTTTTTTGTCTTTCTCCTATCTACTTAGCAGATATCGCGGTTTTGTTGGGGTAGCTGTTTGTCAGTTGTAAAAGCATAATTCCTAAATCTATGGTATTTTACATAATAATCAGTTTCAGATAACTAACACCATCACCTGCGTCAACTTTTCATTCCCTTAATTAGTGTTGTTAACTTAAAATAAAAATCTGTATATAGATCGTACTACATGGTGACAAAGATGGTCTTGTCGGTAGTTTGTTAGTTATTATGGACTGTCATATAAAGATATCATGATGTCTAAAAGATTATAATGATTAAATAAATACATCATGTGTGTTCCCCTGAGTAATTAGTGTCCAATCAAATTACATCATTATGATGGGTTATACTCTCTGTGCAATTACGCATGCGCACTGCATTATTTGTACTGTAAATTATACAATCAATTCTAGTGTTTATCTCCGTGTAATATTGTTTATAAAAGAGTTGAGATAACAGAAATAAAATGGTAGGAAATATAAACATTTACAGTAGTACATCTGTGTGGTTTTTTTCTAAATAATACACACGTTTTATTATTACATTGGTTCATTGATTACCTTATGGTTCCCTGTCCAGCAATGATATCGTAGTCATTGTACGGAGAAATGTACTCAACGCCAGTGTGCTGAATAATGAATGATACAAACAGGTAGCCAGGTGGAAGAAATGTTTGTTACAAAATATCAAGTCTGATGTTTGTGACCATGAACTAGAACTACCTAGAAATTTCAATTAAAATCAAACTCACTTAATTAAAACTGATATCTGGTTTTACCTTTGCAACCCTTCGTGCCTCCAATTCAGCATCCACGCAGTCCTCGCCATACAAAACCACCGTGGCACCTCGGTCCTCTAGTGTTTTCCTCTTCCCGCTGTCCACGTTTTTCTGACAGTACACTTTGAGGGGTATTCCACTTTTTTTACAGGCTGCCAACTGCAAACAGCGAAAATCTTTAATTGGAATTTTTCCTCGTAAATAAGGTATTGAATACTATATTGGCTAATACGTCCCTGGTACTACGATCTGGTAAAACAAAACAAAAAATAATAACTACAGCAAAATGAGAAATATTTTTACATGAAATGTTTCAAATTTAACGGTATTAAGTAGAACTTAAATTTATCACATTGTTCTTACGTCGATATTTAAATTGTCTTATATTTGTTCTCATTAACTTAAAGATATCACTACTACGGTAAACGTGACGTCATACTTACACAAGCGAGGCCATGGTTACCGGACGACGCTGTTATTAAACCTTTCTGTCTTGACTTGGGACCCCTTCCTGCTATTAGTAATATCTTATTGAATGCTCCTCTCACCTTAAAGGACCCCGTCATCTGTTCACTTTCTAAATGTATGGAAGAAATTAGCATTCATTTCATCTTGTTTAATAATAATAATAATAATAATAATAATAATAATAATAATAGTCTTTATTTATACTTGATAACAAATATGAGTCAATGACTCGTATTACAATTTGGTCAAGTGTTTACTAAAATATAAACAATATTTACAAAATGTACATAAAAGATTCAAAACCGTAAAACTGAAAGTAATATAAGCGAATAAATCATACATGGAAAATTATGTGGATTCAATAAAAAAAATCGTTGAACTTTGTTTAAAAGATAAGAGTGAAGTAGAATTTCTGACATGATCAGGTAAAATATTCCATGTGTATGGACCCTGGTAAGTAAAAGAATTCTTAAATATATTAGTTTTAAATGAAGCTAAGTAAAATACATTACTGGATGAGGATCTTGTTTGTCTTGCCTGAACATCAGAACTAAGTTTAAAAAGATTAAGATACTGGGGAGCCAAACAATGCAGGACTTTGTACATCAGTATAGACTGATTATATTCAATACGTTTGGAAAAGGGTAACCAGTTTAACATTCTAAAAATATCACGAGATGGCATATTAAAATCACAACCCAAGATAATTCTACCAGCCCTTTTCAAAAATTTATCGAGCTTGATGCAGTTTTTCTGAGATGTATTTCCCCATATATTAATACAGTAGTTAAAATGAGGATTTACAAAGCAATTAAAATATGTCAAACAGGAAGACCTACTTAAGTATAACCTCAAGCGTTTCATTTGGAAAATATAGAAAGACAGTTTGATAGAACCTGTCTCTTTTTGAATCTGTTATTTAATTTGTCATAGATTACATAAGTAATATACAATCACAAAAGAACGATAAAACATTGAACTTAAACTGAAACAATCTGATCTCTCAGTGTTACTACCATTAGTTCCACTCTGTCAGATGGTATAGCTTGATAGACGACGGGGACCGAGAAGGATATAGAAACTAGGAGTAGTTATTCTTGTTTGGATCCACGGTATACTAGTGTATAAGTGAAATAATATTGTGAAATAATTAAGTTGGTCATATTTATATATATATATAAACAAGAGGCCCAATGAGCCTTAACGGTCACCTGAGGAATATATGTCAATAATCTGGGGATTTTAAAATGTTACAAAAATGTAACAACATTTGTGCAAGACCGTGTGTAAAACATCTGTACCAAGTTTGAACATGATCCACCCAGTGGTTCTTGAGAGGAAGTCCAAAATGTCTTAGCCAAACAGAGGCCAGGGTGGCCATCTTGGATTTTGAATCGCCCCAAAAAGTTAAAACACTTGCCAGGACCTTGTGTAGAACATTCGTATCAAGTTCAGACATGATCAACCCAGTGGTTCTTGAGTCTTGACAAGAAGTTGAAAATGTCTCAGCCAATCAGAGGCCATGGCAGCCATCTTGGATTTTGAATCGAACCAAAAAGTAACAAGACTTATGCAGGACATTGTGTTGAACATCTGTATCAAGTTTGGACATGATCATCTCAGTGGTTCTTGAGAAGAAAATCCATCAACTGGTTCTTGAGAAGAAGTCATTTAAAGAAGGTTTTTACATATGGCCCCTTTTACATCCCTTATGGGCCCCAAAGGGGACATTATTACATTTTTCAACATAATTTCCTATGTCCTTCACTAAGGGATGCTTTCTACCATATTTGGTTGAAATCGGTCAAAGTTGAATTTTTGACCCTTTTGAGCGCCCCCTAGAGGGGCCGTTTTTGACCCGATTTTTTTTCATTTGCAAACTTTGTATACCTTGCCATAAGGACCCTAAATATCAAATATGAATTCAATCTGACAGTTGGTTCATGAGAAGAAGACTTTTTAAATATTTACCTAATTTACCCCCCCCCCTTTCCCCCCTCCTGCGGCCCCTATTGGGGCCGAACCCTTTTTCTTCGCAAACTTGAAGCGGCTTCCCATGGGGATGCTTTGTGCCAAGTTTGGTCAAAATCCACCCACTGGTTCTTGAGAAGAAGCCATTTACATATGGACCCTTTTACATCCCTTATGGGTCCCAAAGGGAACATTATTACTTTTTTCAACATAATTTCATATGTCCTTCACTAAGGGATGCTTTCTACCATATTTGGTTGAAATCGGTCAAAGTTGAATTTTTTACCCTTTCGAGCGCCCCTAGTGGGACCGTGTTTGACCCGATTTTTTTTCATTTGCAAACTTTGTACACCTTGCCATAAGGACCCTAAATATCAAATATGAATTTAATCTGACTGTTGCTTCTTTACCTAATTTTACCCCCCCCCCTCTCTCTCCCCCCCCCCCCCCCACTCCTGCGGCCCCTATTGGGGCCACACCCTTTTTCTTCGCAAACTTGAAGCGGCTTCCCATGGGGATGATTTGTGCCAAGTTTGGTCAAAATCCATTCAGTGGTTCTTAAGAAGAAGTCGAACATGTGAAAAGCTAACGACGCACGACGACAGACAAATCATGATGGTAATAGGTCACCATGAGCCTGCGGCTCAGGCATATATACGTCTCTGGCTCAGGTGACCTAAAAAGACACAAGAAGTTGGTATTCCCTACTGTATGTGGAATTCTTATAGATTTATTTGGTATCTTTTCGAATAATAGACATATTGATTCATTTCAATATTCGTAACAACTGGAAGGACAGATCCTAAGGAAAGCAGTTGCAGGTCGAGTGATGTTGTTGTGTAGGTCAGATAGGGAAAGTATGGTGGCTGTACGGGGCCGTTTTTTCCCGTCTTATCACTTTCACGTCGCGAAGCAGTGGAAGTGCTTTAATTCGGTTGTGACCGATGTATTGTAGCGTTGATAACGCGAAAAATACATTGCATAATGCTGTCATAGTCATTTGTAAATACAAAAAAGCAAAAATGATACCTTTTTGTTGTCCGAATATCGCTTTAACCCTAGGGGAAATCCTCATCGTAAACACAGGCACTCGAGGCCAGGATAAAATTTTTTAATGACCGTGGACCTCGGATTTGTCAACCGGCACATAAACTTGAATTCTGCTGTTATTTCGTTTAAATAACGTCAGTCATGAGTGCTAAAACAAAAATCAATATTTAAAAAATAATATCCTGGCCTCGAGTGCCTGTGATCGTAAAATAACCAATGCGAAAAATTCAATTCTTTTAAATTATCTTTTTAAAGAAATATTCTCAGTTTGTCTTTTGTCATTAAATAAGGACTTAAAAAAATAGAATAATAATTTTAAAATAGATTTAAAAGCTATCCTTTCCCGACAAAAAAAACAACAAATATGGTTCTTATCGGACACCATAACTACGACAAACCGGATGTTGAATTAACACTGCTGACCTTTGCTTACCAAGTTTTATGAAGACGTCACTACCATTACCCAGGCTAGTTAGACTAGGAGAATATTCCAATGGTGTCTTTCTTATGTACGGATTTATCCTTTGATGAGCTTGCAAAATTTGGGTCGGTAAATCCTGGAATTTAGATACCTCCATTTCTGTAATTTGTCAGGCGTGTTCCCGTCAAGATGACAACTCCAAGGCTAGCATTGTGATAGGTGGAAGAATATGATGTGTAAATAATGATAGCGAGTGATCCGCACACCATATCTATAACACACAGAAACTCAAATACAGGTAACAACGCTGTAAAACGTTCTAATTAAATCGTTAATGTCTGGAGAAAGTATTAAAAAAAATATAATTGAAGCCTATTTTTTGGAAGAATTTTGAAAAGTACTTTATGCGCAATACCTGTTTACAAATTGATGCCTATGTGTCGTGTATATATATGATAAACAGTGGTCACGAGTATAGTCTTTCATGTAACATCGAGTAATTTGTTAGAAATCATGTGACCTAAATTGATTCATCCAAACTAAAGAATACGGAATGCCGAATGCACTTCTGTTGTTATTACCTAGTAGCGATTGCATGAAAAGTTCCGAACGGACGACGGACGGACGTTAGATGCCACAGTATGCCATAAGCTGGCTTGGTCCTTCGGTGAAATAGCAAAGACAATGACTTGCATGTTGACACTTTAAAAATCAAACCAAGAAAACGGGTAATGTACTTCACCTGACAAGCAACTCCTGCAGACAAACAAACACAACTTAAACAGTTATACACATAGGTCCCTGTAGGAGAAACCAACCAAATATTTCAATTTGACATATTTTATTTACTCGTCTCTGGTACACCGTGTTGACAATCAAAAGGATATTATTTTGCCCTCTAGAAATCCACCACACCAAGTGTGAAATTTGTGTTATTGCTTTCCATGAGGTTAAAATACATATAACATTCCTTCTCTCTCGCCTATGGAAATGTTTCAGATGAAATTCAGACAAAAATATACACCTATTGACCAGGCCATTAAAGTTACAAAGATGTTACAATACATCTCCTGTAGAGTTCTCCTTTTTTTTTACCAATACGAACGTCCGTTCGCTTTCATCAAGGAATTCATGGATGTGAAGAGAAAGTTATCATGGAAGAATAAAATATCTTTGAACAAAATAAAGGATTTCATGAAAGGAGTAAAATAAACTAGGTTCCAAAAGTGCAGGCTGCTTCTATCTCAAAGATTGCACGAGCAACACAGATTTAGAGACAAATAATGAATTTAACACACCGCGTTTCAGTCCTTCTCGGTCTTATAAGTTATACTAAAGACCTAAATTCTTGAAACCAAGGAGGCAAATGAAGAAAATCTTAATTTATCGATTCAAACGTTAAAATCCAAAAAGGGAGGTAAGTGTGCCCACCCCAGAATTTCATATCTTGTTAGCCCAACTGTATCTAACTCTAAATTAGGATTAAGTTCTACTGTTAACTTCAGTGTTTCTGTACAACCATTCCAGTGTTGAATGATTTCAAAAGAGGTAAAAGGATGTGTATTTTTAGTAGTGATATAATTTTAATGAAGTAAAACACAATTATAATGCGTTACGGTAGTGTCATGTTCTCAAAGGAAGAGCCGGAGATGTAACTACCGTGTATACTAATTAACAAAACATAGGTGATTCCGACATAATAACAGAATCTTAATTCAAACTAAATCTGTTGATACTAGGGGAGATACGAGCAAAAGAAAATATATTTGGAGAATCCAAAGAGAATATGACTAGGTGTTCCGGAAGTGTAAGCGCCTTCTGTTTCATTGACGACACCCGCCATACAAATCTTGATATTTCCAAACAAGAATGTCAATGAGATTGCATTGACAACCATAAGACCCCGCCCCCCCCCCATAATCCTGACCAACCTGCATCTCTCCAAACTCTGTGTTTTGAGTTTGTCTATCAGCTGCCACAACTTTAGTGAAAATCTTGATATTGGGAACATGCTTTGAATATCGGAACAACAGTGACATGTTTACACCATAGATTGAGAATGGAGGAATGTTGCCATCCAGAAATGTGAAACTCCCAACATGGAAATAAAATCATCAAGCCAATCATATAGCTGAATTGAAAACTGTCCCTGTTGATTTCGTTGTAGAAGATCAAGTCCAACTTCCTTATTGCACAACAGAATATTTTCCGATATCATGTGGCTTTCATTGACATGCATCTCTCGAATCCTTGAGTTATAAGTTTGTCCTCAGTGGTTCGACATCTAGATGTTCATAACATCATTATATTAGAGAAATATTGATCTGATCCAAAGCGCACTCTTGCATGTGACAATACCACAAATAAAGCAACGCTAGAATGCATCACAAATGTTTATTATTTTGGGGAATACAGTAATTTAACACCTAACCAACGATATTGCATTCTTGTGCGTTGTTATCTTAAATTAAAATTCCATCATTCTAAATCTAACATAGATATACAAGAGACCCAATGGGCCTGCAGAATTCACCTGGTGTATATATATACCAGCCAAATATCATGCCTGTCGGCGTTTTCGTTCATGACAAGTCATTTAAATGTTTTTAAAAATTTGACCCCTGTGACCTTGAACATAGGTCAAGGTCATATATTTTCTATACTTTGTTAGGGTTCATCCTAGGAACAAACCAGCCAAATATCATGCCTCTAGGCATTTTAAATCATATAGTAGGTCAAGGTTATTTCTTTTTCGGACCAGGTGAGGTAATGAATGGTTTGGTTTATTGTTGCTTTATGTGCTACTAATGGCCAGAGTTCTAAGTGTCGTACACTGGTGGGCATGTTCCTGTGTAATGTTGATTCGGTCTCCAGGGATTGTTCCTACTATAAGGATTCCGTGAAAAAATGCGGTTGATGTAAAGTTTGATCAACATGTTGATATTTCTATATAGTCTTCATCATCCCGAATCTCTCCAAACCCTGCATTTATGTTTGCCAGTAGACAAAAATGTTCTCCCACTACCTTTAACTTGACCTCTGTTACTAACATACTGATATCAATGCTGTGGGAAGGTATATTGTTTGACTAACCTTGACTTGACCTTTGTGACTAGTATACTGATGTTGTTTGATAGGACGTAGATAAGAATCAATGATGTGAAAAGGTGTGTTATCGGATGACCTTTAACTCTTGACCTTTGATAAATATCTGTCCACAGAATATCTTCTGTGATAACGTAATACTGTTAAACCAGTTGATGTTGAGTTTGTCCTATAAGCTAGGCACATGTCCGCTATTAAGAGAATTCACTAATTTTAACAATTCTTCAGTTACAGTTCTAAAAAGTCAATATCAAAAGATCTGACATCTACAGTTCTGAAGGAAAAGAATAATGAAAATGTTTTCAAAACAACAGTTCTAAAGGAAAGCATTGCCAGCATTAAAAACATTTAAAGAAAAGTACAGTCAAAGTTATGAAATTAAATATTTCGGAAAAGAAAGTTTTCAGCTTTTTGCAAATTACAAAATGAGAAGGAAAATATGATCATTGATGTGAACAAAGGAGAACAATGTTGTGACAATTGGAAGTTCTCATGGGAACTGCAATTAATACTATATTCAACAGCTCTGAAGGTAACATGTACTATCAGTGATTTAACAATTACAAGTTCTAAAGAAGAACATTGTTATTGCTGTGACAATAACACAAATCTTTAGGAAAATGCCATTTGGCAAGTGAGAAAAGTTCTAGTTTGTTTGTGATTTAAAAGAAGTCATAACAGATGATTCTGTTGTTGATGCCACAGAAAATCCTTCAAGAAATTTTGTTAATGTTATGAGAACTATATGTTCTTATGGGTAATGACAAAATTGAAAAATCAGAATTTTCAAAAAAGAAGAGTGAGTAATTCAAAACAGAAAAGTGTTGGTGTTGTGCTAATTACCAGGAACATTGTTAAGATTGAAGACAATCACGTCATCATTATGTTAAAATATCATCATACCACTGATAATACAAAAAGGATATAAAATGTAGATAACAAACCAAATTAGATTTTGGTAATGTTAATAACAATAAGTGCCTGGATTTTATAAGTGTAAAGACATTTCATGCTAATTCCTTTCAAAAACTTTAAATATCATCTTTTAGATTTTCAATTTAAATGTAAATTACATTTACTTTTTTAAAAAACTTTTGATGCTATTTTTAAGAGTAAAATGTTATTTCAATTATTTGTTTATGGTTTAATTAGAATTCAGTTGCATATTCTTCATTAGTTGTTTAAATTTTTATCACATGAATGTAAAAAACATGAATATTTGGTAACAAAATACCCAAGAATGTAATAACTCTAAAAAAGGGCAGATTTGCAGTAGTGTAAAAATTTAAACAAAATGCTAACAAACGTTTTGACACTGAAAAGACAATGATTTAATAACATCTGTAATCTGTTATTGAATGGATCATCGGGTATTCTTTCTAGTTATGATAATAAAAAAAGGAAAATACACAAACATGAAGAAGATATCATTTGTATGTCACGCTTGAATTGTAACATTACTACATAGATATGAACAACCACCATCATTATATATCTATACCATATCGAAGTCTCCAAAGTGAAATTGGGTACAAAATAATTATACAAATGGTACTTATTAAAAAAATGAGGTAATATGGTAAATTGCAGAAATATGTACACATACACAGTATTAGTGTGGTGAGTATTACTAACTATACCTGTGAACATATTTGGCACAATTAGTTTTATTATACAATACAAAACTCATTTTTGAAAACAAATATTCCTGATGTAAATATATCATTTTACCTTGGGGGATAATGAATTTTAACCGACCAACTATTTTGAGCTTTAATATGTTGTCTGCAAGCTGCAAATAATCTCCTTTTACATTCATGAAAAAACAGGATTTTTCCTACAAGTGCTGAAAGTGTTTGATTTTATAAGTGTATAGAAAAACTGCATTATATAGGAATTGTTAGTGTATAAGCTCAAAACAAAAAGTTACAGAACAGATTTAACAATTTTGTTACCATTCAAATTTGATATTTCTAATATATCAATTAAATATATACATCAATCAATTTCATATTTCTTTAAAACCATGAAACTTTATTGCAAACAAATCTTAATTTTAGTTAAATTTCGATATACTGGGTAATTATCATATATACCAAGTTCCAGAAAAGGATTTATGATTTTTTGTCTTAAATGGAATACACAAATGAAATACGAGAAGATATCGCACTGAAATCTTTGCATCCTAATTGACAGTGCAATGAATACATAAAATGGTGTCTACCTCAATCATGGTTAGCTAACAATGGAAAAAATATATATCAATCATTTCCTTATCACCGGTATTGCTTTCCCTCAAATTACTGAAATAAATAGTTCATTTAGTCCACCGCCGCTAAATCACCGTTCTAAATCTTACAAAAAATAGGGAAATATTTTCATATACATGTACCTTATCATATATCTTGTATTCAGCAAAAATTTACATCCGTGTTTTTTCCATTGAATATAGATACATGCCGTAACAGTTTTGTATCCCAGATACATCTCTGGCTGCTGTTATATATTCAATCTATAGTTTATACACTTCTCAACTATCATGAAAACAATGGATAAAATATTGAAACTCAACAAACAAGAACAAAGTCATCTGAGAGAACGATTCACACTCACATAAATACATTTACAGCAATCATACATATGAAAATCCTCGACCACATCCAACAAAACACAAACAATTCCATTCTATTGTATTCAGTTACGTCTATATCAGGTATTCTAATTACTGAAGTGATATCAAAATCACAACCTTCTTAATGATTGGGATTTTCTTCAATAAATAGAAAAAAAATAAAAATAATGTTTTGCTGTTTTTTGTTTTGATTCTGATTTTTATCTTATTTTTTATCTTTTTTTTTTGAAGATGAATATAAATTAACGTTGTGATTCTTACAGAAACAGATTAAAACAACTTGGTGAATTTATCATAATCCTTATATATACAAAACAATGTCCAGTAAAGTCTGCTTACTAACACCAATACATTCCTTTCAATTTCCAATAATGTTTTGGTAATATTCAGTTTTTACTCCTTCAGTAGTTTCTGTTTGAATTTATCTTTGATGAAGAGTAGGAAGACTGTTAATACTGGTAGTCACTGTTGGCCTATACCTGGTCTTGAATCATGAGACTAGGAGTGAGTCACTGCTATTGTATGTTCTTTGTAACTTATTTTCTTTTTCTTTTTCAAGTTGGACTGATACATTGTGTGAAAAGCTGACGTCTACGCATAAGTGATAGACATCCCTATAAGAAGATTAAATAACATCTTACAGTTATCATTCTACCTGTAATGGATTGATGATACTCTCTGACTGTAAGGTGGCTGTAATGGATTGATGATACTCTGACTGTAAGGTGGCTGTAATGGATTGATGATACACTGACTGTAAGGTGGCTGTAATGGATTGATGATACTCTGTGACTGTAAGGTGGCTGTAATGGATTGATGATACTCTGACTGTAAGGTGGCTGTAATGGATTGATGATACTCTGTGACTGTAAGGTGGCTGTAATGGATTGATGATACTCTGACTGTAAGGTGGCTGTAATGGATTGATGATACTCTGACTGTAAGGTGACTGTAATGGATTGATGATACACTGACTATAAGGTGGCTGTAATGGATTGATGTTACTCTATGACTGTAAGGTGGCTGTAATGGATTGATGATACTCTGTGACTGTAAGGTGGCTGTAATGGATTGATGATACTCTGTGACTGTAAGGTGACTGTAATGGATTGATGATACTCTGACTGTAAGGTGGCTGTAATGGATTGATGATACTCTGTAAGGTGGCTGTAATGGATTGATGATACTCTGTAAGGTGGCTGTAATGGATTGATGATACTCTGTAAGGTGGCTGTAATGGATTGATGATACTCTGACTGTAAGGTGGCTGTAATGGATTGATGATACACTGACTGTAAGGTGGCTGTAATGGATTGATGATACTCTGACTGTAAGGTGGCTGTAATGGATTGATGATACTCTGACTGTAAGGTGGCTGTAAAGGATTGATGATACTCTGTAAGGTGACTGCAATGGATTGATGATACTCTGTGACTGTAAGGTGGCTGTAATGGATTGATGATACTCTGACTGTAAGGTGGCTGTAATGGATTGATGATACTCTGTGACTGTAAGGTGGCTGTACAGGATTGATGATACTCTGTAAGGTGGCTGTAATGGATTGATGATACTCTGACTGTAAGGTGGCTGTAATGGATTGATGATACACTGACTGTAAGGTGACTGTAAGGGATTGATGATACTCTGACTGTAAGGTGACTGTAATGGATTGATGATACTCTGTGACTGTAAGGTGACTGTAATGGATTGATGATACTCTGTGACTGTAAGGTGGCTGTAATGGATTGATGATACTCTGTGACTGTAAGGTGACTGTAATGGATTGATGATACTCTGTGACTGTAAGGTGACTGTAATGGATTGATGATACTCTGTGACTGTAAGGTGGCTGTAATGGATTGATGATACTCTGTGACTGTAAGGTGACTTACCTTGTCGATGACATATTAATTTATACCTTTCTTGTATACCATATCTTTCAGACAAAGACATGTTTAGTTTCATTCCGACACATCAATATAGCTACATTCAGAGTAATATCTAGTGTTCTTCCATCTCTCAATATATATAAAGCTACATTCAGAGTTACATCTAGTGTTCTTCCATCTCAACATATATAAAGCTACATTCAGAGTAACATCTAGTGTTCTTCAATCTCTCAACATATATAAAGCTACAGGTCCATTTCACGTTTAAAAACTTAATGCAGCAGGCAGACATATATCTACCTAACAAACACTTTGATGCTTCCTGGCTGTGTTCAGATTTTATAATGAATACTGGAAGTTTAAGGCATGGCCTGGGTTCCTTAATGGCTGAAAGAGATCTACACATCTATCAAAGTTTCCTGTAACAGGAAAACCATATAAATATCATTTTAATGGTGTTTTGACAAAAGAAACTTAAGATGTTTTAATTAAGAGCTCATTACAAGTGGTAGCATACAGAAAATGTAATCATCAATCCTAATTTGTCATTCATATTTTGTTATCAATGTTATAAAAAATGCTTTGAAAGTTTGTTGCCAGCAAGCAAACCAAAAGCTTGAAAAATTTAAGCAATTCCAATTGTAACTATTTGTATAGTTGGAATCTGGGTGAAAAGGTGTCAAACATTTCCAAGCTGACCACATGCCATGCAGTCTGAGGTCTTTTAGGCCATCTTTAAGTGACTAGACATCCACTGCTATCAGCTGCGACAGGATTTCTGTATCCAATCCAAGTACTTCTGTGCCAAGCCTTTTTTGAAAGTATTTTTCGTTGACAAATGGTTTCTGGACACCATGTCAACTTCCTTTAACAAAAGAACCTGTCGCTCATTTTCAAGCTTGGTTTTCTTCTGGCTATTTTTGATGGGAAGATCTTGATCATAACCTCCTGGTAAGGTTATCATGTCCACAGACACTGTCTCTGAATCACATACTTTACACAGAGCTTGGAACACATACCTCCTGTAAAATCAATGTTATATAATACTTCATTTGATATCTATCTTCAATTCTCTCTTAAAGAATTTTTCTTCCCATAGAGGTTTTGAATAAAAACAAAAGATGCAAGATAAACAAAGGGTGATAACTCTAAAAGAAAAAAAAAAAAAACACTGTAAGGTTCTTCAAAATTACACATGAACAATATATCAGTACTAAAATAATTGTCAAGCATGGTATTCTGATATCTTAAAGAAAATTTTCTTTGTAGAAATTGGCAAACTGTAGTCTCTAAATATAATAATTCAATTCTGTTTAATCAAGTTCCATTGAAAAGATGAAGACACAGCCTACCTGTGGTACCATAGAGCCTCATGGTCTGTGTAAGACTTCAATAAGTCCACTACAATTTGCATTTCCTTGTGAATGAGATTCCTGTAGTTAAGGGAGAACTGTTCCTTGAGAGTGTCTGCCTGCTTGTGTATGTTGGTGAGTAGATATTGACGGTAATGAAATCCACTATGGTCGGAGATGTGTCGTCTCACCCAGGCCTCTGTAGCATGTAGTTCTCCAACCAACACCTGAGCAATCAGAAAATTAAATGTATTTTGAACTCAACATTAACAGTAAGGACGGTAAACATACCGTCAGTTTGAACAGGCAGGTCAGTTAAACACACAATTTTTTCAATAAAAACATGAATTTTCTCTCAAGTGATAGTTTGAAACCTTTTTAGCCTTGTTTCACTTAACATTTCAAATTTGTTTGAACATATTGCAAGACCAAACATTAAACTATTGATAAAGGGATTGGGGTCACAATAATCCCTCCATGTGGTCACTATTTACATGGACATTAAACGTCAAATTATACACATACAGTTCACTTAAGTAGCATTGATGTTTAGTGTGATTTCTTTCAAATATTGATGTAACATGGTGAGGACACAAACTGACACAACTCTAGGCCCCAACTGTGTATTTAATGAATGTCGGCTCTTATCTTCATCACAGTATCCAATGTTATGAAGATCAACATGAAAGCTGTGATTTCTTTACAGTTGATTTACATATATTGCAGTACAGTAAGTGTTTCAAAAACTAATTTTTTAATCAACTTTTGCTTCTCCCTCCCTTTCTGGACAATGTCAACACAGACACAGTTTCACATGCATCATTTAGCATGATTTGAACAGATTCAACAATATCTAAATAATTTTTTTCAAACTGACTGAAAGTTTACCATATACCCATGCCTCCAGTTTTCACTGCTATCTTCACTGTAATTAGCACCCAATAGGTTACCTCACATTTCATAAAGGATATTTGTAAATTAGTGCTCATTCACATCAATCACTGTTATATTTTACAATAATTATTGAAATTACTTGCAACATATACATCATATGTCAATAAATAACAGCAACAATCAATGCCATACAATGACTGTTTTGTTTGTAAAAAATCTGTACCCAGTACCCCTACTTAGGGCAGTGCAAGTGATAAGATATACATAAACACATAGCAAGGTTATCCCAGAGAATATAAATACACATACATAAGGTATAAAATAGCAGAATGATTTCAAATCTTTTTCTCCTCCTGTAGTATACTAGAAAAGGTTGTAGATAAGCAGTAACTTCTTGTATACAACACATGGTTTTCCCATTTCCTATTTCAAAGTGAGAGTAATAAAGAGAACACTAAAACCAACAAGAGTTCCTCGGAACTGTATGTGTCGCCTGCATAAAGTGTCACAGGAACCAAGAAATTGAACTGGATGTGCAACGATCAACCATAAAGTTGTAATACCAAATTTCATTTCTATAACTTGAAGCATAAAGGGAAAACTGCGCAAAGCAATATTCCTGAGAAATTTTCTAAATTGAAAGGGGCATAACTCTGCCAAAATGGGTCACAGACAGCCAGGAATCGAACTTAATCTGAACCCTTGTAACAAAAAGCCATATGCCAAATTTCATTTTGATAACTCAAAGCATTACTGAAAAAAAGTCCGGAAAGCTTTCGTATGGACGACGCTGCCGCCTCGTGACAACGGACAAAGTGATCCCTAAGTGTCCGCAAGCTCTGCAGGCGACAATAAAACCAATAAACAAATGAAACTTCAGATAAAATGTATCATAATTATGTTATATTCAGTTCACATTCTGTTTATCAATACTTTTATACACCAGCTTTACAATCACCTGTATGGTACAGTTGTAGCAGTTCTGGACAACCCAGCTCCGGTGACTCCAGGCATTGTAGTTACAAGGGTACTTCTCTGCAGCTTTGCGACATACAGTAATCTCTCGACGCATTATTTCATGAAAGTCTGGCTGTTGGTTCATTCCGTGTACATTATTGTCCATTAAAAGGAAATTATTTGCCTCAGCCTCCAGGTCAAAATCTATGGCATCCATGTTGACAAAGTCGTTGTATAAACTTCCTGTGCTGGTAGTACTTCCGTTACTAGAACTAAGACAGCAGTCAACATATCGCCGCAGAAGCCATTTCCTGTGATGAAAACCGTCATTTCCAACAATATAATTTTGGTCTTTTCTTTATTTCTGTGATCAAAAATATACTACAGGCTTTGTTTTCTAAGTTTTCCATTTACAATCACCAATACAAAATCCTATTTCTTATAAAATCTACCACAAATTCTGATACAACTTTCAATCTAACATATAATTGGTGTATTCAACTGAGTGTGTGATCTGAAATATAAAACCATAGAGCTAGAGAGTAAAGATGTAAATCCCTATGTATGTAATGCTGTGTATTTACTTGAACTTTATATATACCTGTGGCAGAATGTTTCTGGACTTTTGGGATGTCTAGACAAGACAAGGGCTCCAAACTTCAGGTCATCTATAATATTGAGATCTGAGGATTCCACCAGCTCTTTCCTGTACAAAAAATATGCAAAACAATTATGTACATGTTACTGTAGTATATATATGTATATGTTACTGTAGTATCTACATGTTACTGTAGTATATATATGTATATGTTACTGTAGTATCTACATGTTACTGTAGTATCTACATGTTACTGTAGTATATACATCTTACTGTAGTATCTACATGTTACTGTAGTACATGTTACTGTAGCATCTACATGTTACTGTAGTATCTACATGTTACTGTAGTACATGTTACTATGGTATTTACATGTTACTGTAGTATCTACATGTTACTGTAGTATCTACATGTTACTATGGTATTTACATGTTACTGTAGTATCTACATGTTACTGTAGTACATGTTACTATGGTATTTACATGTTACTGTAGTATCTACATGTTACTGTAGTACATGTTACTGTAGCATCTACATGTTACTGTAGTATCTACATGTTACTGTAGTACATGTTACTATGGTATTTACATGTTACTGTAGTATCTACATGTTACTGTAGTATCTACATGTTACTGTAGTATTTACATGTTACTGTAGTATCTACATGTTACTGTAGTATCTACATATTACTACAGTATTTACATGCTACTGTAGTATCTACATATTACTACAGTATCTACATGTTACTGTAGTATTTACATGTTACTGTACTGTAATATCTACATATTACTACAGTATCTACATGTTACTGTAGTATTTACATGTTACTGTACTGTAGTATCTACATATTACTACAGTATTTACATGTTACTGTAGTATCTACATGTTACTGTAGAAACTGGGAAAAAAGTTGTAGCATCCCTTCTAGACCTCAGTTGATTGTGCATATAGAATAGTAAGTGTGAAGGACATAAATTTCACTTACGGAATATTATGATTACTTTCAATTCTTACCCCATAATCTTTCAAGTTTTCAGATGGGATATTTGTAAGTAACAGAAATATACAGCTTCAAATACCTGATATTCCAAGCTGTTAAGCAATCGGCATTGACAAGAACTACCGCCCGACTGAGACTTATCAGGTCGAATGGATCTGGAAAATAAAATACCTTGCATGTGTACTGATTCCAACAATTATCTCATTAGATTTAGCTTGCAACCTATTCAAAACAAATTCAGTTTCCAGCCTTTTAGAATCCTACAAATGATATGTTAGAAGATATTTTCCATGAAAAGACAAAATAGATATATACAAAATAATGTCAGAATTATCATTACAGTCATATCATCATCAAGGACTACTTGGCTCTCTTAATATCTATTCTCAGTTTCAGTACTTGATATTCGTTCATAATATTTGATGGAAAAGTATTTTAACTAATTTGCATCATCTTTCACAGAATTTTCGTAATTCCAAATAAAAACATTAAGTTGCATTCCTATATTAAGGTATCATATTTTCATATCATGCAACACAAAATAATTTTTAAAAAATTGAATTGCCTTGGAGACCATTCATCCAATATATATGAATGCAATAAATATTTTTTCTAATTTGAGAGAGATGTAAAGTGTTGAATATGCACTATTGTTATCAAAGTAATCACACATTTATAATTAATTTTCCTTCTTTATTTAAGGAGATCTGATGTTACTCAAAATGAAAGTATCCTAGTGACATTCATTATTCCATGTCAGATTTAATTTGTATATGGAAAGTCTTATGATAAAGCCAAGTAATTTTCTTCCAATGTGCAGTGTAATCTGCTTAGTGCATGCTTGCCTTAAGGCATGATGTACAAGTTAGGTAATAAAAAAACCAACCAAGAAATTTGGCATGAGCTTCTTTTTGGCGCCAAGCCATAAGTGTATTATAAGCATGATCGTAGAGAATTTTGACACTCCACATCTCCAATCCAAGTTTGTGTTCCTGGAGGATGAGTGGACTTCTGTTGTGTTTAGGTTCCAAAACTGGCAGGAAATCATACTCATCTCTGAAAAATAGATACTATCAGTCAATATATATATGTAGGACTGTATAACAAACCATTCTATGTGCATCTCTTTATCCATTCCTTCCATTTATAGTATCTCTAAAGTGATGAATTACATGTATCATCCTTAGAACTATTCTATGATAAGGCAAACTTTGAAATAATGTTGATAATTTCATAATTTACTTCCAATACAGTAAATGGATTACATTGGCCTTTTTATATATTATGGGTTAAAAAAGTATTGATGTTGTACATCTCTGTTCCTTGTTTGTACTCCTGTAGGAACCAACCTACCTTGTATAGCTTTTTTCGGGGGAAAACCCAAACAAAAATTATCAAAGGTTACTGGTGCTCTATACTGGTCTTAAACAATTTGTATTACAATGTGACTATAATTATGGATTTTATATGTTATCTGAGACCTTTCTTCACACTTTTTAATTAAAATGGTCCTGACTATTGTTCAGCAACCCAATTCTTTTTATTCTTGGTTGACAGTCAGAATTTCTCTTTACACAAAAATAAGAAAATTTATAGCCACCAGTGCATTGGTCACATTTGAGAAATGATACATTTTAAGTAATTTACGACAAAGTGATGCTTATATGTTAAAATATTTTGTGACTCACTTTTGTGTTTCCAAAATGTGCTAGACACTGTAGTTGTTGAAACAAGTTCATTTATTTAGTTTGAATAAACATCAATGACTTTTATGTAAGTTAGAAGAAAATGTTTTATCTTCCATTGATGTATATGAGTGCAACATTCACAAACCAATCCTCAAACCAGGCACTTCTTGAAAGAAGTGGTAATGTCCTCTTTATCATAATAATAAAACAAAAATTCTGATACTTATCACTTCCAATTGTGTCTGCAATGATTAAAATGTACTTTACACCAAAGCAATATCTGTGGCAACAGTTGTTAGCTTTGTGTCTGAGGTAGGCTTTGAACACCATATTTCCTGATCAGTAAGATTACAATTAACATTATATATAAGTATGACAAATAAAAAGATGATACAATAACTAACAAACCCATCAACTTAACAAAACTAATAAGGGCTATAGACATTATTGATGAAGAGCTAGAAAGCCAGTTTTACATCTAATTTGCCAGGCCTATGTGATGATAGTAAATGCTGACATCGCCACACAGTACATAATATTTCCTTCACTTTCTCAAAATATTTTTTCTCAATGAAATTTCTTTTTGTATTCAGTTGGACATGCATGTCCCCATCCCGGCCGGCCAACTTTGTTCAATTCTGCAAACAGAACCTTCCCTAAACCAGACAAATGTTCATGCATGTTGCATACATTGTTGGTTTGGAGACGCTCCACTATGTTATCATAGACATTGTGCTGTTGTAATTTAAATATAAATTGAAAATCACTGCCCAATACAGACCCATGCATAAGTTGCCAAAATTTCCTGTTTTTAAATAGACTGTGACCCAGTCAGAAAATGGAAAGATAATCAGAACCCTTCAGACTACATTTTTTATGCTGAAAGTCTTGTCCTGCTACAACTAATAACTAATAAAAAAATGTTCAATGCATCTTGAATGTAATGGTTCAGGTCCTAATTACAATACTTAATATATATAGAAAGTTATTGCACTCAATACAATATGTTTGCTTGCAAAACTTGCATTCATATACTTGATATCTGCCATTAGATATCTTAACACTTATATTTATATTACATACACTTGTTGATGAATCAAGTAGATTATTATCCGATTTAAACTAAAAAAAATCATTATATGCAATGTGATCTGCCAATATGATGGTTTAACAACAATAATTATGTCATAAAGAACATACACTTCTTTCTGAAAAGTTTATATGACGTTATTGTCATGCAAATTATGCCACCACATGGTGTATTCCAGTTGGTCAGTAGACCGAATGTTTCTGTCTCTAATACGGCAATATTCACATTTATTATGATGTTATTAACACTAACAGGTGCATTGATTATCCTCATTTCAGTTAAATGTGAAATGGTGTGTGCATGTATATACTGTAAGCATAGAAAGTATCAACGCTTTGAGTAATCAGGTAGTTACATGTATAGGGGCAACTGTCAGAGCAGAGTAAATTATATTCTAAGCATGTTATCAACCATGATAACGATACAAAATACAAATATCTAAATATTTTCGTAAGATGCCCTTGACAAACAGTGTCAAATACAAAAATAAACATGTGCGTTTTCGTTTATTTACGTAGTTACAGCAGTGCCAAGTGACAGCTCACTGACTGACATTAAAATGGATGACATCATTTAATGTTATCATACAACAACAACTTCTGAAATGTATCAGCTTATCTTGTAAGAAATTCAATAGCATTCAAGCATGTTCAAATCGTAATTAGACAACATACATGTCAGGATCTCGACGAAAAGCAGAATTTAAATCCGAAAGTAGACGGGATCCTCTGCTGTCAGTCGCCATCTTTGTTTATATCACGTGACTAGATTATTTATTTTTTGTGGTTTGACAAGAAGTATTTTAAATTCGCTGACTTACATACCCATTAAGTATTTTGGAATATATTATGTACATGTATGTTTGTAAATGACTACTGATAAAATAGTAATATATTTAAGACCATTACTGAAATTAGGAACTCTCGCGAGATCTGTCATGGCTGACAATACTACATGAAAGCTCTACCGAGATTAAAGAAAATCCAGCCGTGCGATATTTTGAGGCAAACCTGTCACTATGCAAGGACGATTTCAACGCAGTGACAATAGATTTGGATCTCCAAATTCTACCCTACGACCGCGGCATATGGGACACGATTTTCATGGCGCTCCAATGCATGGTTTTGGAAATCGGACTACGCAAAGAGAGCATCAAAGATTTCCACAAGATCACACCCGGATTTTTAATCCACCTGATTCCCCTTTTATGAACAGGGTTCCTGGTAGTCATCCACAGCACATACAACATAACCCCCAGTTTAACCCGAATACTCATGTGAATCCACATGTCCCTCCGCCGCCTATAACTGACAATCTACAATCACAAAAAGAATTTCCCTTTCAGCATCCAGGCCCACACACTCAGCAACATGATCCTGGAAGTCAAACGCGGAACATCTCATTGCAAAACCCAGGGATGTCACAAGTTTACCCAAGAAATGAAGCTCGCGATTTCCCTAAAATGCAAGAAAGTCATATTGGTAATTCAAAATGGATGCAGTCTGATAAAAAATTTCACTTTCAAGAACAGCAATCAAATGCGAATGTCTCTTTTCCTCCATCAGGTTATTCTGTGAGCACATTGGGAGACTGTAGACAGTTTCCTCCTCCTAGTTATATAGGTGATGGTATTAAAAATCAAATGGTGTTTGATTCTCCAAAATCTGAACACCACATGCAATTTACACAGGAAATAAGAGAACAACCCAAACTAGAGAGAACAAAGGAAACTAGCCAACAATGGGTCAATAGATGGCTTGGGCAGATAGGAAAGTCATCTTCAGGTCAGCTAACTCAGCTATCTTCAGAACCTGCATCTGGTAAAACTTTGAAAGTGAGTACTACAACAGACCGATATTTCTGTAAAACTGAAAACAGTATACTGTCACCATCTTATAATACTATCAGGTTTTGACTTTAAATATCAAGGGTGTTTACAGGGTCATTAGGTAAAATGACTTTATAATCAATTTTATTGTATGATTTTCACATCTGCATGTGTGTAGATGGTGTTCTTTGGTATTTTTGAAAATTATTTTGACTGTGTTAGAACCAAAAATTGAACTTAAATCTTTTAAATACTTATGAAATGTGAAGAAATATCAGGTGATTCTAACTCTTCATGCGATTTGAGTAGGCGACACTACATACCAGATAGCCATTGTTAAAGCAAAAGGTCTAGAACAACGTTTCCCTTGTAGATTCCTGGATTCAAGGTCACAGTGTCAAATTCAAACAACTCTTGATTAACCAAAAGACTTTGTTGCTGTAAGCTTTGTGTTACAAAATAGTTGTAGAATATTTGTTTCAAATCTAAACATCTCATAAATTTCATTGCTTGAAGTCACCCAAAAGGAGATCTAGTAGTTGTAATCTTATGTTTAGTGTGGTTCTGTGAAGAGTGGAAAGCATAAATGTTGGTTTTAACATTTTGAATGTTTATTTGGTAAAGAGTAGAACAGGTAAGCCAAATCCATATATCAAATATTGGGAAGGAAAGTTAGTTAAGTAAGTTTGAAATTATCCTGCTGAAGTTAAGGTGGTAATGTACTAAAAAAAATGAGTCACAATTAACATTGCATGATGACAGAATAAAAAAAAAAATGCAATTACGGTTCCATAGCCATTCCATTATGTAAATTACGTTATTTATATAATTATTGTATTATTTATTAAAGACTTTAGACATCTGGTTAGGATGAAGACTGTCATATACTTACAAGTTATTTTTAACTTTGTCAGATGATCCATAAGCACTTGCAACCTGGGTAGTCAAAACATTTTCTGATAATTCAATTTCATCGGCATACTACAGTCTAACTTGAAGTCAATCTTAAAGTCAACAGGACCATGAAGAACCTTTTTGAGTTGTTTGAGTAATAAAGGAACAGGCCTTGAGTATTAAAGGGATATTCTTCCAAAGTTGCAAAATTTCTGGTTGTTCTGTACCTTGTATTAACTCATTCTAATGACTATAGAAACTTTTGTTGAAAATGGAGGGAATACTCCTAGCCAAATAGTGTAAATATAGAAATTCAGAACTGAAAGGTCACTGGACCCTAGATTTCCTGTGGAGCATCGCGTAAATACACAAGTGTGTATGCTATGCACAAAAATTTCTGCTGGGTTTACAATTTATATGACTTCATTAGACTTATTTTCTGATGATTTTATAGCTCAAAAAATATTTTATTCTGCGAGCGTTCGTAAGTCAATCTAGCTAGATCTGTAAAGAATTTCTGAAAATTGAATATCATGTATTTGTTTAAATGGTTAATTGAAGTGTACGATTTCTGTAAGAACATATGTAGATTATTTTGTACAGTTTTCTTCTAACCAAGATGAAAAAGAAGATTTGGAAAAAAAAACAATGTTTGAGTTATCAAGATAAGTTTGACTATAACAGCAGATGTATAAATATGTTTCAGATTTGTGAAGCCCAAGAACGAGTAAAACAAATGTTTTTCTTGTTAGCAAAGTTGAAACAGGAGACTGCATATTTGGAGTCGCTAACATATGACAGTGATGAATGGAAAGCTCATACAGAAATAACTACACAACTACAGGTATGTTAATCAAATATAATAAGATTGAGATTCCTGCATTTAATGACGATTAATTTTTTTTTCAAAATCAATTCCTAATAATGTTAATATGTCATAACTAAATATAGATATTTCAATATATTTAATCACTTACAATTATGATCCGTTGAAGTATTCAAGGCTTTTCAGATAGAGTTTAAGAAAAACAAGTTTTTTGCCATTGAAATTTTCAGATTGAACTGAGACAGCATAAAGATGTGATGACAGACGAAGCGATGCTAAGTGACTTACAACAAAGAATTGCAAAAAGGAGAAAGAAAAGGGTATGATAAGTTACAGTATATATATAGCAGGTTTAATGAACTTGTGGTTGACTTTTATGGCAACAGAATTTATTTGTAATCATTATGTTTTCTGTATAAAGATGCCTAAATGCATGATAGAAAATGGATGTAACCAATATGTATATATATAAACTACCTCTACTTTCTCCCCCAAATCTGAAAGGTTGATTTAAGACATTAATGGTATTTCTCTTATTTTCAGTAAACCTTTCTGACCAAAGTCTACTTTATGACTGAGGTTACATACAGCCCAGAGTTGGCATACCCTTCCTGGTCATCTTTAATGATATATATCCTTTTCAATATGAGAAATTTAAGAAATACTTAGACGCTGTTTTATTTTTTATATGATATATTTTGTAGCTACTGAATTATTTCAGCTGGATTTTTCATGTGTGTGTATAAAGTTGAACTTCCTTATCTAAATCAGGAAAACAGATATTTAACATCCTTAGTAGTAATACTTTTATAAGTCTTTAAATTGAATGAATGGATATAATTTACTAGTATCCACTAAAATTCATGAATTTTCAAATAACCTGTGATTAATGGCACTGTATCGCTTTTGAAATGGCCAATTCTATAAGTGACAAGTGACTTCATTGAGGGAGCTCTGTTCCATGTAGATTTACTTTCATGTCCTTTGCGACAGGGACATTAAAGAGATAAGGTCCACACTTTGCAGCGTCCTCTTTTGACTAGATTTTCATTCCAGTACACTTATCAAGTCAAGATCTGCCTCTAAATTATTAGTTTGATATCCATTACTAAATTGATAAAATACTTCTTGAATGAAATTCTAAATAGTAGTCAAATTTCAAATTTTATGTAAATTGTATTTGCAGTGGTGTTCTGTGACTTTGAAGTGGTTGCATGAGACAGGGCTCAAGTCCTTACAATTAATCTAAACTATCCGAACAGTTAAACTTTTTAATCCGAAGCCAAATTATACACTTTATAAATTAATCAAGCTAGTTTTAGTTTTTTCTAAACTGCTTAGCGAAAAATTAAATTGAGGCCAAAAAAAGATGCAAAACAAGAAAAATGGAAAATTGATTTAAAAAGATTTTATCTCTAATAGATTTATATGTATGTACAGTTAATATACTAATGTACAGTTGGCAAACAGATCATTTCTTATTGAGATGTGGTCTTAAAAGATATGAGAATTTACATTAATATTTGTCCACCATATGTTTATTGTATAGCTGAGACAGAAAGAGGTAAGGAGAGAAAGGTATGATGACAGACAAACACAGATGGCTGAAAGGGATAAGTTACATAAGATGGTTGATGACTGGCAGGCCAGAATTCAAAAGGAAGAACTCAACAAAAGTCAGGTAATAATATTACCCAAAAACTGGAAATGAGATGATTGTTTTTGAGTGTCTGGGGTTTTACAGCAGTAGAGATATTGTTTGATAAATAGCATTTTTAGTTTATCTGACCTGAAAGATCATGATGACCTATAGCAATAGTACTTTGTCCGTCGCTGTCTGCTGTGCATAAATTTTTGACATTTCAAACTTCCTCCAAAGTTTCACCACTAGGATTCAGCTCAAACTTGCATGAAATGATCCCGAGATGGTCCTGACTAAATACCAGTATTGTTATTTTTTGGGTATGTCTGAAATTCAAGATGGCCATCATCTTGAAAAACATATTTTAAACTTCTCCACTTCCACTGGTGACATTGAGCTAAAAAAAAATTGGGAATGTTAAGGAAAGGTAGTCAGGCTCATTGGCCTCTTGTTTTGTGTTTTTAGCAGTAGAAACCCAAATTTTTGATATCTTAATTAAAAATGAAAACAAGAATCCATCTGTCTGTGTGTTGTCTACATGTGGTCTTAAAAGTTTAGACATTTTTCAGTGTGTTCAATATCATGTTTCTGATATTGCAACTGCCTTTTTTTCAGGAGAAAGAGCTAAAAGCTACTGCAGACTCCATACTTAGTGAAGTGAGGAAGAAAATAACAGATGCTGTGAAGACTATTGATCTCCTAAAGGGTTTACAAAAATTACGAAAACTCCGCAAGGATAGGTTGTCTCGACAAGGTATTTTCATTGGTGGCATTATTTTTGCAGGAAATAATGAATTACATTATTGCAATTTGATATCCATACAGTTTAAACTTTATTGCAAATTATCAAAAGATAAAGGATGTTCTAAAGGTTGTTTTATGATCATCTCTGATTAAATGGTAACTCCATCGTATATAAACTTTACGAAATATAATTGTCTTGACTGTTACTTCTAAATAAAACATAACAGAATTTTTACCCTTGATTATGTACAAATTCAACATTGTGAATGAAATAATGAATGAAGTAGAATTTGATTGAATTAAAGTGTTAATTAATGTTTTCAGGTATCACTGTACCCATTGGTAATGACATCATATTTGAGGAGCAGGTGACACAGCAACTCAAAATGATGCAATCCCAGAAGGAAGTTTACCTTGCTGAGGAGAAAACTCTCAAGGTAAATATGTTTTACCCTATAGGTGATTATTTTCACAGTGATGATATTTTTGTTATTTCACGGTATATTGATGTGACCACCAAAATTTCATCAATGAAATAAAGAGACACATCTTTATTAGATGTTGAAATTTAGTTTGAACTTTTTATTAGAAAATTGTGAAAACCATGCATGAAAATGACCAGCTGTACGGTTTATAAATATATATTGTTACCCAGTAAAGTTTCAGTATAATTTTTTAGGGAATTTCATACATTGTTTTACTATCATTGAATCTGATATGTAAACAAACCTGTTTATATATATATTTCTTCTTGTTCTTATTTTAATCATCCAGTAACCAGTCTTCGTTCGCCTGAGATCGAGAACTTCTGTTGGGGTAACCTACTAGGTAGATATCAAAGCATTTATAATTGACTACTTCCATTTGAAGTTTTGATCACATTGCTTCAAAGATGACCTGTCTGTCATGCTTCAATATTTCAGCTATTGATGACAGCAAAGATTACTGAAACTTATTGTTTTCATCGATGGTTAATAGGGCTTGATCTGTACTTTGTCCAAAACGATATTTGGACTTATGTAACTTTCAAGATGGCTGCCTTGCAATTTCTGCCTCTTCTGAACTGAAAATCCCTCTGAGACAGGACTACCATTAATTAGTAATGGCTTTGATGCTGCTGAAATAGATAATAATCATTATCATGCCACTAGAAAGGTTCTTTTACATCAGTCATCATTTTGATCCTGTTAGTACAAAAGGGCCTGTATAACTACAAAGGTTCGAAAGAGTTATGTGCATTTTGCTACTGTTCAACTGATGAACTGTTGGGACAAGTTTAGATTGTCTAAAAAGTCAAATCTTGATATGTTATTGTTACAGGTTATGTTAGAAATGGAACAAGAGGAGACACAGGTTTAGATTGTCTGAGAAGTTAAATCTTGTTATTGTTACAGGTTATGTTGGAGGTGGAGCAAGAGGGGACGTAGTTTTAGATTGTCTGATAAGTCAGATCTTGTTATTGTTACAGGTTATGTTGGAGGTGGAACAAGAGGAGACACAGGTTTAGATTGTCTGAAAAGTCAAATCTTGATATGTTATTGTTACAGGTTATGTTGGAGGTGGAACAAGAGGAGACACAGGTTTAGATTGTCTGAAAAGTCAAATCTTGTTATTGTTACAGGTTATGTTGGAGGTGGAACAAGAGGAGACACAGGTTTAGATTGTCTGAAAAGTCAAATCTTGTTATTGTTACAGGTTATGTTGGAGGTGGAACAAGAGGGGACACAGTTTTAGATTGTCTGAAAAGTCAAATCTTGTTATTGTTACAGGTTATGTTGGAGGTGGAGCAAGAGGAGACAAAGGAAAAGGAGAGGGAGCGCATACTGAAGATACAGAAACAAAAAGCAGAGAGAGATGAACGACAAAGTAATATAAAGATGTTTGGATCAAGTGGTAAGTACATGAGCATGAATTAAATAATGACTGTAAGAAATGAAAATGCTGTTCTTGTGGCTTTAGAGATTTTTAAGTCTCATAAAGAACCATTGTAAATCGCTTTTTGACCTGCATCATGCATCATAAACTTTCAGCATTTTTGACCAAGTCAAAAAAAAACCAAAACACCAAGAACAGATTTCAATGTTCAATGGAACTTTGCAGAAACTTTCCTTGGCCAAAAGTGAACCAAAATTATGAATTGCCTGAGAAGCAGGGCCAAAACAGACCAAATTGACTCAATTCAAAAATCTACTTTTCAATACACAGAAATGGTAGAATCAAATGCTCTTTATGGATGGAAGGTGATTTACCAAAACTGAAAATTTCAAGATCCCAGCTTTTCCCATGTCCCTGGAGGGTGTGGGGTTGGTTGGGACGTAATTTCTTCACTATAGGTCATATAGGAAAATTACATTTTTGAGCATCATTTGTTTTACTCGTGTACCATAATTCAATCCTGGAAAGAATCCTAAACATGGGATGTTAACATTTCACATACATGTTATTTCTCTTTAGCATTTGTAATAAGATGTTCCCAACTGACGGACAAACTTGTAATATAAGATTTTAAAAGATGCAGTTTGATGAAAACTATGGGGAAGTTTTATGCAGCATAGTGATTTCAGTAAGAAATATTTTATTTCTTTGTGTGCTATGAAGCAGGGCATATTTGATGCTTGTTAGTTTGCTTGTTGGTTCTGTTGTTGTACACCTTATTCTCATTTAAGAACTTGACATTACTTACTTGGATTGACCAAGGTTTACAAGGCAGGTGAAACAGAAGACGCTTACTCTTCTGGAACACCTGGTCTAATTCTTCTTGTATTTTTTTTCAAGAGTCGATTTGTTAATCTTTCTTAAGTTCATATTTTGCCCTAGGTTTATAGAATTAGAGTTTGGATTATAATTATGTTGACATGTTAGTTTATTCTTGTTATTTTTTCTATGTATGTGACAAGACCAACTACAGCATTGATAAAACCCAGGTGACTGCTAAGGCCTTGAGCCTCATGTTTTATGATGATTAGCTGTGGGTTTATTTAAAGAAATAGTTAGACATCACATGCAGTTATTAATATTATCTGTTGTTCTTTCGAATGTCATTCAACATACTGTAGGGTAGGTATATTTTTGTATATTGTTTTATCAAAATTAAGTCTATGCTACAGTCAAGTCACACTTTTCACTGCAGTGAAAAATTTTAAGTGGACTTAAAAGATATGAAAGTTTTTGGAACTTATATCCAATGCCTAAAATGAATGTGAAATAAGTATTGTCCTTGAATGCCTATCACTGTGAGTTGTAATTGTCTGGCACAATATACTGAAGTACTGCCTGTTGTTAAGAGCCCTGGACACTCCCTAGCATTCCTTTTTTGTTGTAAGGTGATATTCTTAAGTTTTGTACTCACCAAAGTTCAGAATTTCAGTAAAGACACTACCACGTGTGTATATAAACTGATAACTAGTTTGAACCACATGTATTGTATACAATCCATAGTCACAGACTTTTTTCTAAGATTACTTGTTTGTTCTGATGAATTATGATGAATGTGTTTGATTTCAGAAAGCATGGAAGAAGATGACCCACTGTTTCCCTATTTCCAGTACTATGATCAAGCAAACCAGAAGTTGGAAGCTCTCCTCCAGATAAGGTATACCTTAATGTAAAAAGGGTTTTGGCCATGATTTTGGTTTTTGTTAAAGTCTGTAACATCATGATTTTTAGGCATTGCTCAAAATATGTCCTGTTTTTAGGCAATCGAAAGTACTCATTATGCATGAGTGAGAAGTTTAACAAGGTGACTGGTCATGTGGTACATATGACTTTAAAATGTTACTTGAACTGATGGTGTCTAGTATGTAAACAGTATTATAAGTGTATTGTAAATGAATATAGGTATGTTTCTTTATGTCTTATTAGATAGATAAAGTATCTTTATCACTGAACACTTTGTCGTCACATGCCAATTGACCTTCTTTTGCATTCAAAATATGCATATTTACCAGATTAAGCTTAAGGGAATGGGGTCAGGTTTCCCACAGGTCTGTGTGCTGGGAGAGACAGGACACTGCTGACTACATACATTACTGCAGCATCATAGACTGAAATATGGCATTATGGAAAATTGTGACCAAAAACCTGGAAGAAGTTTACTTTTCTTTACAGTTAAAAACATTAAATGTTTCATTATGACAGACTACAGGGACATTTGATATGTGTTTTGATCTGCTATCTCTCCTGTCAGTATAAAAACAAATCACTAACTTCAGGCCCCCAATTTCATGATTTTTTTTTTTTAATTTGAGGAATTTTTTCTTCAAACCTAAAATTGTCCATAGGAAAGCATTACATTAGTTCTTCATTTAATGTGGGTTTTTTTTCCATATTCTGTTTCTATGCGAGTTAAGATCTACCCAACTTTAGGAAAATTCATGGAACTGGAACCAGCCAGATTTATTTCAAGAATCTGATTCTTGAAAATGCAGACTTTGTTAGGCATTATTGTGCCTTGAAGTAAAGACACAGCATGTTCTTTATGTACTACATAACTAGGTTAGACTTATCAGGATGATGATAGAAGAAAACAAACAACAATCTACCTTATTGATTTTATTCAGTGGAGATAAGATTACATAGATGTAGACTAATAGTTATATACATGATATACATAGTGATACATAAGTTTATAACATCCATATTTCAGCTGATGACATGGACAAATTTGAAAAAAGATTTAATGTAGAAATTATTGGAATTATTGCAAAGAGTTGGGAAACAAATGAAACATTAAGGAAAATATGGAAATGAAATAAGTGTTTACAAAATGGTGGTAATGATTGAAATATTACAGGAGTGAAATCATTACGTTTTGCAGGAGAGATTGGGACATGTTTTTGGTACCAGATGGAACACCAGGTGGCAGTAGAATACCAGATGGATTTGTCCTACCCTCTGATCCATCCAGTGAAGCTTGGGCTACTGCTTTGAAAGATGAATAAAGTGATTTTAATAGAAAATAAAAGTTATATGTATTTTTCTTCTTTACAAGTATAGATCCATCTTTTGGTGTGGCAGACAAAGTTGAATTATACCAGTGTGTATTTAGTATCTACGGAAAATTTTGCTAGTTTTTGGTTACATTTTGTCGCTTCCCATCAGAATTTTTTAGATGTAATAACAACTCTGTATTGTATTGACTGTCATAGCACTTTACCTGTTAGTTTAAACATGACTAAATGAAACCACATCAGTTATGGTAGTGCAGAAGTATTCAACATACATATTCTTTCTTATACTTACATACCACAACATGTAACGTGAAAGATGAAGCACCCAAAAGTTTTTATGCTCCCGACAATTATTCATCATTATTTGATGTCCAGTCATTTATTTCATGATGGATTGATATAATGAACTTAGATTTGTTGTTTAGTTGGAAAAATAGGAAAATAAAAAAGAGGTGGAGGAGTCCAATGTCCTGTGAGTGGTACTAGTTGGTAGATGTATCAGTAGAAGAATCCTAGGTGGATCAGAAGGATTCTAGCAGACCTCCATAGACGATAGGTACTAACTACTAAATAAAGGATGGAGCATCAACACCAAGGATTCCGTGATCGGTAGTTTTATTAGGTTGACATGTTTCGGCTAACTAGACTAGCCGTCATCAGAACAGCGATAGAAGTATCGGCATAGCTAAGCTTAAAATTACAGTTCAGCCATGACGTAATAACGCATTATCTTGATCACGTGATGATAACAAGACAGTTCATTACACTATACAAAGTAAAGGAACAAAGGTAGCTATAGATTATATAAAATACAAAAGTGGTACAGCGATGCTGTTTATAAAGTAATTGAAATGTTCTGTAACAGTTTTCAAATGTAAATTGGAAGTTCTAAAGGTATCATTGATGCATTGAGACCAGCTAGGCTAGCCGTCATTGGGATGGCAGTGTCAGTAAATGTTGATGATGAAAAGTAAATGTGAGTAAAAAAAGTTCATCCATGTCATGCTATGGTTAAGTATTCCAACGTTCTTTTGGGTTGCCTACTACACTGGCTACAAGTCCGGAAGTGTGTGACATGTCTTCTAAGAAAGTATTCTCAAAAACCATAAGTCCCAGGGTCATGATGTAACATTGTTGTGGTGAACTTCCAAAGCTCTCTGCACAGTTCAAATAACTGACCTTGACACAATTTCATGAACACATATGTGAAATTTTTTGAAATCTTCAAACAATATCTTCTCATTATGTTAGTGTTAAGGTCATGCCTGATATTTGGCCAGTGGTATAAAGTTTGTTAAAATAAAAGACCTGGACTTACTTTTAAATTATAATTTCACCTGGGTCAGATGTTCGGAAATCTCCAAGCTACAGACAAATGTGAGCTTTACTTAATTTGCTTTAGGTTTGGATTTGAAATAAAACACATATTACTGAACGGTAATGTAGGAGGGATGTGTGTCCGCAGACAGAGACATCCCAAGGTCACAGATTACCTTACCATAGGACAATTCACACCTTCCTCTCCCCAATGCGACAGTTAGTCTCAGTTTACATTCAAGTTTTTGCATTGTAGAATAGTGCACAAGTCACTACCAAGGAACACTTTATATACAGGATACAGTGTATATATGCAATAAAGGTAAAGTTCCTGGACAGTATGTGAGTAAATCCTGATGTTGATATTCTAACACTATTATGATAGCCTGTACATGGTAACCAGTTATGCCTATAAGATGTAGGCCTAGATCCCATTTATATGACTGTTCCCACTGCCTAAATCTAACCTTGACAAACCCCACACCATAGCATACCCTAGTTAACGTTATTATACTGTTCTCAGCATGTGTTTTACACTCAGTGCTAGTTAGACACCATATACACTTCAAAAACAAACACTGTTTATAGCTGTCATCAAATTGTTTACATGAGGGCGAGTATGAAATTCCAGCATAGATCATAAAGGATGTTATATACCCAAGAAATAAATGTTAAATATAAGTAAGGGCAGTGTCATTATCTCTGCAAATAATAAATCTTTATTTCTTACAGCTGTAAAAAAATGAAAATGAGAATTATTATTTCTTTTTATTCTATTCATTATTATTTTTTTTACTTCATTAAGCTGAAATAATTCTTTAAAAACATAAACACTAAATCATTGAACAGTGTTTCTATTGATATATAAACATGTATGGATTATTTATCCATTTGCTTATAAGGAAGCTTTAATAATTCTTTATAAATTTTACTGTTGTCAGTTATTGAATTTATTTATATTTATTTGAATTAATAATTTCTTATCTTTCTTGTCCTTTTTCTTCTGAAATTTTACACGATAAGAGTACTATAAAAAAAATCACAAAAATTACACATGTTGATTAAGCTGTCCGGTATCAATTATTACTTATTGTACCAAATAGGTAGGGCTGAGGGTATAAAGAATCGATTGGCAATTGTGTCATGTGAAAAGGAAACCAGTTTTCTGAAAATTCATATTTTGGCGAATCAAAATTTAGAGCTAGAGCTAGCCCAGTAACAGCTTGTCAGACGGGAAATTTCCATCAGGTAGTATCTAAGAATTGGTGATATAACTCTTCAACTTAGCTACTGATGCATCATAAATTATACACAGACAACTTTCTTCTTGAACAATATTTTCATCATGAAAGGCATAACTCTTGAACAGGTGAATATAAACCTACCATGGGATGATGATGTGATCTGGATACTGTTATGATAAGAATGTAACAAGTCGTATCACTTTGGACTACCAAGTGTTATACACATATAATATGTGCTAATATCTAAAGTGTCTTGCCAATTTCAAAATCAACAGTTTACTTCGTGTGTTCTTTTGAAAACAACACACATATATATAATATCAGTATATACATGTGCATGTGTAAATTGGTAGGAATAGGAGTGCCATTGTGCTGACCCAGGTTTATTCCTGACATTAGGGTTTTCCCTGATCGTTCCGGGCAATGTGATCGGTGTTGTAGTGTGACCTGTAATTTGTAAACACTCGCTGCCGTCCCGAGATGGCGTAAACGCACGTGTACTTGGAGAAGTTAACTTTTCGCTGGCAGTCAACGAGGATCACGGTGATATACTGTGGTATTATGGCAGCCAATACTTCTGCTAATGTTGACGTGGTCATTGATACCGGTGATAGGGAAATACCTGAATGTCCTCATGGTTGGTATTGTTTATAAACACATGTGCCCATAGTATACGTATTATAGCGATAAATCAAGATGTGCCCGACCTGCCGTATGCAGTGACATCATGAAGATTATCTGACAGAAAGTAGTAGTAGAATAACTATTGGTATTTAAAGTGAATTACTGTCCAAACCAGCTTCACCTACACCCATCCTACTGGTGCAATAAGAACCATCAAAATGTTTTGTTTTGTGTGCATAGACTACTGTATAATCCGAATTGTCCTTACCTTCTATCGATTTTTTTGTTCTATGGGTCTAGAATAGGTGAATGTCAGAACTCCAGTCCAATAAAAAAGAGTATTAAGTCAATGTGGCTCTTATTGAACCAATATCATATACCAGAGTAATAAAATCTATCACCTCCGTGTGATGTAGACAGAAGATGTTCAAACATGTCACCCCTGCGTTATGTTGAAGACAGGTTAAGGGAATCGATCGTCTCAATGTGATTTAGGAAGATATTAATAGAATCTATCATCTTTGTAATGTAGACAGCGGGCAATATCATTTATCACTTCTTCGTGATGTATACAGACAATAATTGAATATATCATCTCTGTGTGATGTAGGACAGAGGATGATAGAATATATCATCTCTGTGTGATGTAGGACAGAGGATACAAAAATATGTCATCTCTGTCATGTAGGACAGAGGATAATTGATTATATCATCTCTGGGTGATGTAGGACAGAGGATGATAGAATATATCATCTATGTGTGATGTAGGACAGAGGATACAAAAATATGTCATCTCTGTCATGTAGGACAGAGGATGATAGAATATATCATCTATGTGTGATGTAGGACAGAGGATGATAGAATATATCATCTCTGTGTGATGTAGGACAGAGGATGATAGAATATATCATCTCTGTGTGATGCAGGACACAGGATACATAAATATATCATCTCTGTGTGATGTAGGACAGAGGATGGTAGAATATATCATCTCTTTATAATGTAGACAGAGGACAGACAATATGATCTATTACTTCAGTTTGATGTCAACAGGGTTGTAAAATTGATTATTTCTGCATGATGTAGACAGAAGGTAATATAATCTGCATTGTCTTTATAATGTGAAAAATGATATGGTAGAATCCTTTACCTTGTAATGAAGACAGATGCCAATAGAATCTATTACCTCTCTTTGATGGAGACAGTGGATAATAGGACTTTTCACCTCAGGTGATGTAAATAGAAATTAATGGAATATATCATATCCTTGTGACAAAGACCGAGATATCTTAACCAAAAAGTAAGATTTTTAGCTCACCTGGCCCAAAGTGAGCTATTGTAACAAAATGAGTAAAAATGGATTTAATGGTAACTTTGGAAAGGTGTGTATCGTAGAGAGCAGCATCTTAGTTTAAAGTACATCAGGTCAAAAGTCAGTCAATGCTGGATCGAGGTAAAAATCCCGCAAGTGACAGGTAGTGATGCACACATGATAACGGGCGGGATGTGTACCACAGTGTTGAAGCACCGTGGTAGAATATCACCAGTATGACTGATCAGGACAGATAGATGCTCTCATTTGTATGTCTTGCGCTGGCAAACGTATTTGTAAGTAAACGAGATAAGAAACAATGTATAAGGTAGATCAAAGATGGGAAGTTGATAACTGGTACTCCTAGTCGCACGTGCCTTCATAATTAGATGCTCCGTGGGTTGGGTTATTGTTGTCCAATAGGGACTAGGTTGAAATTAAGTATTTGGGTATTATTTATACTAAGACAATAGCCAGCACTAGTGTAGTCGAGTCTGGGATTGAGTAGCTAGAGAGAGTTGGGAGCCGGATGTGAAGACGGGCAGAGTCCTGTATGGAACCTGCTCCGCGATGGAGCAGGCCCTGGCCAAGTTGGCGCAAGGACATTTGTATAGAACTCTGATATGGATGGGCAGGTGTTTACTTTTTGTCTGCCTTACACAGGTATTTATTTTTGGTGCCACGACATGCTGCTGTATGTTGAATAGGAACTATCTTTTGTAATGGATATTAACACGAAGTACTAACTATGGAAAACCACTTTATGATGAAATAAACGTTTCGGTCAACCCAAGTTAACACCGTGTTTAGTCATTGTGTAACACTATTGCAATTCCACAGTATCTGTTGCTTGTCCATCAACTTTTAATACAAATCGCTACTAGTCGTGTATTTGTGAGAAGATTTGAACATATTTGATCAAAAGCATCCTTTGGGGAGCAGAACTCAATTTTGTATAAATGATGGATTTGATCCCAGCTGGAGCCTGAGATGTGGGACCCAATAAGGGAAATATTGCAAATTCTTTAAAATCCTGCTCCTTCTGTTGGAATGATTGTATTTTGTCCAAATTCGGTTTGAAATATCCTAAGATGAAAAGGAATAAATTTCATTTAAATGGTGGGTCATGACCCAGGGCAGGAAGGGCTCAATAGGGGAAATAGAGCTTATGCTTTAAAGTCCGTTTTTAGGAATGTGAGGATTCTGTCTCTGTTCTGAAGCATGTTTAAGTGAAGGAGACTTTTATATAAATGGTGTCAATGTCTCCTGAGAGCAAAGTGGTGGGGCCCAATGGGGAAACAGATATAAAGCTAAGAATTCCTTTTCCTTTGATTTGAATGACATGGATAAATCAATTTCATCCAAATTAAAGCCAAGTGAGCAATACAGGCCCTTTGGACCTATCGTTGAGGTATACGTAACAAACATTATGATAATTACTAGTGCATGTTTTGATGATGATCAAAGTGGAGACATTGCACTATCATCAATGACCTAGGAAGTGTGAGCTTAATTGTTGACATTATTCAATTATGAGTTGTGTTAAGAACAGTAGTATGTGTTGGTTATGGTGAGCTGTCTTATTTCAAGAAAAGATAAAATTATCATAAAGTACTTGTCATTGTATACACTTTCTTTGGATGATTAATAGTATGAGAAACATCTAAAATCAAGTAAAACATTATTTCTGTTTTAGGTCCAGCTTTGCTATTTGAACGATATGAAAGGACTTCTTCCAGCAAGTTCTTTGCCTGTTCAGCCTTCAGAGATAGGAAGGAGTGCAGCTTCTTTCAGTGGGAAAGTGAAAAACTTTCAGAAGAAATAAAGAAAATTCATCAAGATATTAACTCAAGACAACAGCCAAAATTTTCCCATCAAGAAGCTTCCAATAGGTATAGTTTTCAGCAAATATCAAGCTAATTTTGTGGTCCAGGGGAAGTAACTCCTATTCCAGAAACAGGTCCTGAAGTAGGATGTTAAATGGGCTGTGTTTGCCAGTCATTGTTCTGTAGGCTTTGTATAAATGTTGTGAATATTATGGTTATTATAATGGCTTTCCAGTTTTATATATTTATTGTTCAAGTCTCGGCAGTGGTATACTGTCCCCTATTCCCTTTCAGGATCTATTCATCTACTTGTTGTACAGAGGATCCCCTGCCAAAGACCTGTATAAATCACAATATTTCCATCTGGTTTTTATCATCACAGCAAACCTGAAGAAGTGTAAACATTCATTAACAGAAACATTGAAATAGTTTGAATTAGAACAATATGTTCATATCTTATTGGGGTATATTTACATTTAGAATGCTTTATTTGGCCTTACCAACAAATTTGATGTTTACACCTTGTTAAAGGTCAAGTCTGACCATCTTGGAATCAGCTAATTTGTTATTCCAGCAGTTGTCAGGCTGTTCTCTCAGAGCACATAACATCCAAAGAATCACAATATTCTTTTTTTTTTTGCATAGATAAAACAAAATTATCTCAAAATGTAATTGTGAGAAATGATTTTTATGCTCCCAGAAGAGAGGGCATATAGTTGCCAATTTTTGGAAGTACCTTGAATTCTCACTGACAAATTAGTTATTTTCAAGAAACACTTTATACTTTCTCCTGAGCTGATTATTTACCAACCAATGAAAATGATGTGTCAAGTTTTTAGGAAGGCAGTGTATAAGTATTTACCAATAGTCTAATCTTTCTTGTTGTTCTACATTCACAGATTGTCAAAATTCAAGGAACAAGCCAGCTCTAATCGCCAGTTCTGTCACACTTGTGGGATGGTTTTGTTACCAGGGGAGCTACAAGATCACAGAGGTCACAAGATAAAGTCACCAATTACAGACAAAATGTTGGAGAAACCTTCTCAGTTATTTATACCTTTAGATAATAACAAAACGTTTGCTGTAAGTGAAAAGTAGAGTTGACAGTAACCTAAATGTGATAAAATCATTATTAGCTCACCTGACCCGAAGGGCCAAGTGAGCTTATGTTGTAGCATGTCATACGTCGTCAGTTCATATGCCTGCTGTACTTCATCTGGCATCAACTTTTTTCTTTGAACAACTTCTCAATAACCAATGAACCAAATACTTTGATATGTTTTTAGGATAAAGCCCCACAAATCTGAGAAAAGAAATGGCCTTGACCTATATTCAAGGTCACAGGGGTCATATTTGTTAAAACCTCTAAATGACTTTTTCTAATGAACCAAAAGGCCTTGAAACATGATATTTGGCTGGTATATATGCCAGGTGAGTGTTGCAGGCCTGTTGTTGAATATGTTGAAATTCCTGAAAAAAAAAAGACAACTGCTAGGATTTGATAAGTGGAAAGGAAATTTTTCGTATTCTTATGTTGAAGTATTGCGAGTTGATATGACACAAAATATGCTGAGACTAGAAGTAAATATATATATAGCACTTTTGTTATAACCTGTTAAATCAGGATTGATAATACATGGTTTTATTGAAGCATACAGAATGACTATTGAGTCATCTGAAAATCATGCAATTCACTTTACCTTGAATCTGTTACATCATTTCATTCTACATAACTAGTGAATGTATTTTGTCATAACTTTTAAATGAAAGATTAATCACACTATTTCTCACAAAACCAGACTATGGATGTTTTTCTTGTCTCATGATTTATATTTGTGTCGCCTGCCTGTCAAAGGCAACATAACATAGGTAATGACTATGTCATTGTTGGTGTCATCGATGGGTCATCTGGACAAAGTTTTATTTTGTGATAATCTGAGTTCCCTTTTGCCAATCAACCTCAGACTTCATACAGTGCTTTCTTACCAAAAGTGCTTCCTTGGGATTGCATTCTAGGTTTGAAGGTCAAAGGTCAAGGCTACTGTTACTATAAATATAAAATTTGTTATCATACAGTAATCTAACTTGCTTGGCATTGCTTTTCGGATCAAAAGGTCATTGCAGCTGTAAAAGAATGGTTTGTGTGATAACTTGAGTTTTCTTTGGACAATTAGATTCAAACTTCATACAATGAACAAAGAACAAAGGGGCTTGTTTGAAATTGGTTTTGTTTTTCAGGTGGGTTGTCCCTGTTTTTTTAATTAAAATTCTTTGCATAATTGTGATATACATATCTATCCTGTGGATTCAGTTCCCTTCGACACCATACATCTAATCTTGAAGTTTACTCATCACATCTCAAACAAATGGACAAATTATATCAATGGAATATATACAATAAATATCTATGGCTATTGTTCCATCAAGCTTATCTCCAGAATCTTGCTGGACAGTACATTATGTGGAATTCTTGTTGTTAATGAGAGTATTGATATGGCTAGTTCTAACAAAGATTAATTCCTCTTTTTTACAGCAATACTTGTTTTCTTTTTCTGCTGTTGACTTTACCATCAAGACTTTGGAAGATCTGTCGTTTACACATATTGTCTGTGTCGGAGCACCAAGGTAAGCATCAATGAAAGTTTTGTGAATTATCTTTGATTTATCGATAAATCTGTGTCTATTAACGGGACCTTTACATTGAACTATAACACTATATGCATTCATTTATGTGAAAAAATAATTTGAAAAAAACTTCACCTTAATTACAGTGTAATTGATTCAATACACAACCCTGAGTCTTAAAAGACTGTATAAAGTCAATATTTTGTATGATTTAATATCTTCTGACAATATTCATGTAGATTATCTCAGTATGGAAATCATATAGGTAGATCCATTTTTGTGGTATGGTAGCATTTTGTAGCATATTTCTTTAATTTTCAATCAATTTAATACTGCTATTGTGTCACAGGATATTTGAAGCTATAGAGACAAAGAAAGATACCAACTTAAAAGGATTACTTCTGGACTTAGATCATAGATATGTAAGTAAATGTTGATATGTAAGTAAATGTTGATATGTAAGTAAATGTTGGTATGTAAGTAAATGTTGATATGTAAGTAAATATTGGTATGTAAGTAATTTTTGATATGTAAGTAAATGTTGATACGTAAGTAATTTTTGATATGTAAGTAAATATTGATATGTAAGTAAATGTTGATATGTAAGTAAATGTTGGTATGTAAGTAAATATTGATATGTAAGTAAATGTTGATATGTAAGTAAATGTTGGTATGTAAGTAAATGTTGGTAGGTAAGTAAATATTGATATGTAAGTAAATGTTGATATGTAAGTAAATGTTGGTATGTAAGTAAATGTTGATATGTAAGTAAATATTGGTATGTAAGTAATTTTTGATATGTAAGTAAATGTTGATATGTAAGTAAATGTTGATACGCAAGTAATTTTTGATATGTAAGTAAATGTTGATATGTAAGTAAATGTTGGTATGTAAGTAAATATTGATTAAGTAAATGTTGATATGTAAGTAAATGTTGATCTGTAAGTAAATGTTGATATGTAAGTAATTTTTGATATGTAAGTAAATGTTGGTATGTAAGTAAATATTGATTAAGTAAATGTTGATATGTAAGTAAATGTTGATAAGTAAATGTTGATATGTAAGTAATTTTTGATATGTAAGTAAATGTTGATACAATAGTAAATGTTGATATGTAAGTAAATGTTGGTATGTAAGTAAATATTGATTAAGTAAATGTTGATCTGTAAGTAAATGTTGATATGTAAGTAAATGTTGATATGTAAGTAAATGTTGGTATGTAAGTAAATATTGATATGTAAGTAAATGTTGATATGTAAGTAAATGTTGGTATGTAAGTAAATGTTGATATGTAAGTAAATATTGGTATGTAAGTAATTTTTGATATGTAAGTAAATGTTGATATGTAAGTAAATGTTGATACGCAAGTAATTTTTGATATGTAAGTAAATGTTGATATGTAAGTAAATGTTGGTATGTAAGTAAATATTGATTAAGTAAATGTTGATATGTAAGTAAATGTTGATCTGTAAGTAAATGTTGATATGTAAGTAATTTTTGATATGTAAGTAAATGTTGATATGTAAGTAAATGTTGATACATAAGTAAATGTTGATATGTAAGTAAATGTTGGTATGTAAGTAAATATTGATTAAGTAAATGTTGATATGTAAGTAAATGTTGATCTGTAAGTAAATGTTGATCTGTAAGTAAATGTTGATATGTAAGTAATTTTTGATATGTAAGTAAATGTTGATATGTAAGTAAATGTTGATACGTAAGTAAATATCTCATGTTATGAAGATCAAAATGAAACCTGTAATTTTTTGACAATCTATTATCATGTATTGCTGTACAGTAAGTGTTTCAAAAAGATGACAGATCGAAGTGGTAGTTTTATAGATTCCATGTTGGGTTTTTCAAACTGCTAACTATTTTGTTTATCAACAGTATTCATTCATGCCTTACCCAAAATGTTTATTCCAAACATTTGTTATGTTACTTATTTGTACTGATATAAATATTTATATTTCATATAAATTGATGGATTATGAGGATGCATGAATCCAAAGAAAATTAATGTCCCATCTATTTGATGATTTTACAAATCACGTTTCTTGTAAGTATGATTTTTAGATTCAAATCAATACCTTTTTATATCTTTCCTTTACAGCAGCAAATGTACCCAGTCGCCAAGTTTTGTCGCTACAACATGTTCAACCATCATTTCTTCGAAGAAAAGAGCACAGATGTCTTTAGACAGTTCCTGTTGGAGGAGAGTGGGAAGCGTGTTGCTATGGTGATGGACCCACCCTTTGGTGGTATGGTGGAGGCACTGGCGGCAACTTATAATAAAATCAGCCAACAATGGCAAGCACTTTCAGAAAGTAAGCATGTAACTTATAACATGGATTGCTGTCATTATGCATTGTGTGCTGTCTGTAAACTTTTCCTTTAAAACACTACTCCTGCTTAATGATGTCTCGGCTGATCTCAACCAAATTTAGTCTGAAAAATCACTGAGATTGGGGAATTATTTCTCAAATTCAGAAAGGTGATTTGACACCTAGGGACCTGGAAATGGGGCCCAAATAGGGTATTTAGACAATACTTTGCTTCAAAAAGCTACTCTTCCATAATGCTTGAATGGATTTCATTCAAATTTTGTCTGTAACATCAGTAGGAGTTGGCAAATGATTCTTAAATTCAATAATTTGATTTGACTCCTGGGGACTTACTTTAATTTGAAACATCATTGAGGGTGGGGAATCATTTCTTCAATTCAAAAAGTTTATCTGACACCTAGGAACACGGGGGCAGGGCCCCAAAAGGGGGAAATTAGATAATATTTTGCTTCAAAACACTAATTCTTCTTAATGCCAATATAGATTTCAACCGAATTTGGTCTGAAACATTATTGCAGGTGGGTTATTATTTTTCAAATTCCCTCAGAAAGTTGATTTGATCCCAAGCGACCTGGGGACAGGGCCCCAAATGGGAAGTTAATAGTCAATATTTTGCTTCAAAGTATTACTCTTCCTTACTGCTGGAATGGATTTCTAACAAATTTGTTCTGAAACATCATTGTGGGTGGGAAATCATTTCTTAAATTCAGAAAGTTGATTTGGCCCAGAGGAACTTGGAGCAAGGCCCCAAAAAGGGAAGTTATTTGACTTAAGAATCAACCTCAATAAATGGTTAAGATATTTAGTTTGGAATCTGTGAGAATATGGTAGTGAATGGTATCAAATTACCTTAACCATTATTGTTATGTAATTTGTCTTGTAACCAGACAAATCATATTTCAGTCTGTTGTATGTAGTGTCACTAAAATGAAGTGATCTTGTAAAACTGATAACTATTCTAATACAGAAACCCAGGATGGTGATTTACCGATCATGTGGTTTTTCCCGTACTTTATGGAGAAGCGGATAAAGGAGTGCCTTCCTACCACACAGATGTTGGACTACAAGGTATTCAGTTAAACATTCTGATGTGTTTACCTTCCAAACTTATGTATGATTCAGCTGTGACAACAGTAGTTAGATTTATTTGTTTTAGTCCAGGAGAAATAAACAACTTGTGGCTGAGAGGTTGAGCTCACTACTGTGATGTAATACAGAAAATATCGGTAATCTGATTTTCAGCACTTTTGGTACAAAAAATAGTGATTATACTGATTATTGAAATAACTGCACGTTGTATGTCGATTAGAAAACAATGTTTATGGATACACTAATTCATTGTTGTGCTAATTTACCAAAAGGTAATAATGTGCTAAAATTTAATTGTGTCAACTTATGTGCTTTTACAGTATTTGTTGGTATTTCACTTAAGTAAATGTAAGTAAGCATAATACCATTAACAGGCTTACTGATGTATATGGTAATATATACTTATACCAAACTACCTCAGCTAAATATATGCTGTCACATCAGAGGTGAGACAGTACACTACCATATTATCAGACTATAGGCCCTTGGGTTCGGTTCAAGACACCAATATCTAAGTTCTACAGAATGTGAACAAATCACATTATCCTGCGATATGTCCATTTCCCGACTTCAATCTGATATTACCAATATGTATTGGCCCAGTATTTATTGCTGTATATATGGTAGTTTATACAAAATTTAACTGTAATCTTGTGCCAGTCTTGTGTAATCCTGAAACTGTATTCCAGTATCTCTACTTAATGCCTGTTGGTTTGCCTATGTTGGTGTAATCATAATTATGTATCTGTTCCTGTACTAAGTGGCTGGTTTGTAGGTGAATTTGTCTATGTTGATGTAATCCTGTAACTGTGTATCTGTATCCATGTATCCCTCTACTAAGAGCCTGGTCTTTAGGTGGATTTGTCTATGTTGATGTAATCCTGTAACTATGTATCTGTGTTCCTGTATCCCTCTACTAAGTGCCTGGTTGGTATGTTGATGTAATCCTGTAACTGTGTATCTGTATACCTGTATCCCTCTACTAAGTGCCTGGTTTGTATGTTTATGTAATCCTGTAACTGTGTATCTGTATACCTTTATCCCTCTACTTAGTGCCTGGTTGGTATATTGGTGTAATCCTGTAATTGTGTATCTGTGTTCCTGTATCCCTCTACTAAGAGCCTGGTTTGTAGGTGGATTTGTCTATGTTGGTGTAATCCTGTAACTGTCTATCTGTGTTCCTGTATCCCTCTACTAAGTGACTGGTTTGTAGGTGGATTTGTCTATGTTGATGTAATCTTGTAACTTTGTATCTGTGTTCCTGTATCCCTCTACTAAGTGCCTGGTTGGTATGTTGGTGTAATCCTGTAGCTGTGTATCTGTGTTCCTGTATCCCTCTACTAAGAGCCTGGTTTGTAATTGGATTTGTCTATGTTGATGTAATCCTGTAACTATGTATCTGTGTTCCTGTATCCCTCTACTAAGTGCCTGGTTGGTATGTTGGTGTAATCCTGTAGCTGTGTATATGTATACCTGTATCCCTCTACTAAGTGCCTGGTTGGTATGTTGGTGTAATCCTGTAGCTGTGTATCTGTGTTCCTGTATCCCTCTACTAAGTGCCTGGTTGGTATGTTGGTGTAATCCTGTAACTGTATCTGTGTTCCTGTATCCCTCTATTAAGTGGATGGTTTGTAGGTGGATTTGTCTATGTTGATGTAATCCTGTAACTGTGTATCTGTATCACTGTATCTCTACTAAGTGGCTGGTTTGTAGGTGGATTTGTCTATGTTGGTGTAATCCTGTAACCATGTATCTGTGTTCCTGTATCCCTCTACTAAGTGCCTGGTTTTATAGGTGGATTTGCCTTTGTTGGTGTAATCCTGTAACTGTGTATCTGTATCCCTTTATCCCTCTACTAAGAGTCTGGTTTGAAGGTGGATTTGCCTATGTTGGTTAATCCTGTAACTTTATACCTGTATCTCTATTAATGCCTGGTTTGTATGTTGATGTAATCCTGTAATTACGTATCTCTAATAATGCCTGTTTTGTAGGTAGATTATGACAACCACATGCTGTTCCGAGGTGATGTAAAGAAGCAGGGCTCTCCAGTGAGGATATTCACCAATCTGTCCCCTCAGTCTGTAATCCTTCCTGCCTCTGAGGGATACTGGTAGGTGTACATCAAGTGTGTATTATAATACTGTCTACCTCTGAGGGATACTGGTAGATATACATCAAGTGTGTATTGTAATACTGTCTACCTCTGAGGGATACTGGTAGGTATACATCAAGTGTGTATTGTAATTCTGTCTACCTCTGAGGTATACTGGTAGGTGTACATCAAGTGTGTATTGTAATCCTTCCTGCCTCTGAGGGATACTGGTAGGTGTACATCAGGTGTATATTGTAATCCTTCCTGTATCTGAGGGATACTGGTATGTGTACATCAAGTGTATATTGTAATCCTTCCTGCCTCTGAGGGATACTGGAAGGTGTACATCAAATGTGTATTGTTAGCAATACAGGCCCTATGGGCCTCTTGTTCTTAAAAGCTTCTGTTAGGATCTTGTACAAAACTTCTGGAACATGTGACTGATTAGAACTTGGACATGTCACAACTTGGTCCTAGTCAGAATGTCAAGGTTAGATAAGGAATAGGGAACACCATATAACATCCTTACTAAGATCATTGTAGGATTTTTTATTTCAGTATTTAGTGTTTAAAGAAAATGTCATAACTTTGTACAATCATCAAGCTAGTACTCTAGAGCAATGCCTTTTGATGTGGGAAAATTCTGCATTTAAATACTTTTTGTTACCATGGAAAAAGATAGTTCAAATTACAAATTTCAGTATTTCTGGAACACAGCTCTGAAACCATTCAAGATAACTACTCAAAACTTTTTTTTCTGGTTATTAAGCTTGTACACTAGAAGTGCCCTTTTGCTATGGAGAAATTCTGCGTTTAAATACTTTTTCTGAAATCATAGTAAAAGTAGCAAATTTCAGTTTTAAAGAGCATGACCATTCAAGGTAATTACCAGAAATTTTGTGCATTTGCATTTAATGTCTTTTTTTTCTTGTTACCATGGAAACAAATTAGAAACAGGCAAAATTATGAATTTCATGGTTTCTTGAGCATGACAACACAATTGTTCAAGAATTATCTGAAACTTTTTACACTTTGTGCAAGCTAGCATTTCCTTAACACATTTTGCTGCTGGAGAAGATTTCAATTAGAATATTTTTTCTTTCTTTTGTCTGTCAAAAAATAGCTGTAATTATTAGCAAAGTTTCATAATGTTACAAGTAACCTCATATTTATATATCATTTCTAGTAGCTCCCCAACGGGAACTGGTTGGGATTTTAGTTTTACGTAGCGTCTGCACTCCTTCCACAATCTTGTCTTTTACAAACTACTCATGGGAACTTAATGCTTACAATATGGTTCACCTTGTTGGGATGGTGTGTCACGTGTTAAAAATAGGTCACTCTGACCTACATTTTCATCTTTGAACTTGCATCAAAGAAAAAATTGGTTGTGGCTCTATTGCTTGCACTGCAGGTCAGTGAAATGTCATACTTAATGTATGGGTTCATTTTGGTGAGGTAGTGTGTTGGTGGGGAACTGTCATTTGTCAGATTGTCTCGTTGATTATGTTATCATTTATTTGTGAATGAAACCAAGCTATACTTAAAATCATCAATGATAAAAGATGATTTGTGCCAAATTATCAGTAACAGTGGTGGAATGGACTTGATATGGGTTATCGTAATAATGACATACCAGTATATTTAATATATATTTCATACTTTGTGTTATCATGTTTTTATTTTTTGTGAAGGTATTGTAAGGTGTGCTCCAGATTTTCTGCTAAAGAAAACCATCACTGTGATATCTGTGACTTCTGTCCATCAAAGGTAATACCTATGGTTACTGATATATTTAATCTCCTATAGCTCACTACTAAAAATAACATAAGCCTCCTTATGTATAGTTCACCTGATCAAAAGGACCTTCAGCATATGCTGTTAGAAAACATTGATAATTTGATTGAAAGTGTTGATGAAAATGAATTGTTTGATGTCAGTGAATGGTGAGAGATCATAGAGTTTGATTCTGGTGGGTAATATAGCATTAGGCTGATGATGAATATTTGTCAAAAGTTTTCGTATTATTGTCTGAAATGTTGACTAGTGTAATAAAAGGGGAGTCTAAATTATGATACATAAACTATGAGATATTGATATTTTGATAAACTTGCAAATTTGAAACAGCATATTTCCTTAAATTGTAAGCAGATTAATGCAGGTTTATATAGATAAGAAACTGCAGACTTATTTTCAGTCAAGTTTTTGGCTTACCTGGTCAGAAGGTTCGCTGAACTAAGGCCATGGCACGGCAACCATTGTCCGTCAACTTTTTACTAAAAATCACTACAAGTCATGCATAATTCAACAGATTTTGACCAAATTTCATCTGAAGCATTCAAGTTCAGATAAATACTGGTTCACAGCCCCCAAGGGCTTGAGGGGTGGCATTCAAAAGGGGAAATTTTAGTCAGTTCTTTGGATTGAAATAATATGGTATGAAGTATTCTTGGACAAAAGGGAATCAATTTTGTATAAACGGTGGGTCTCGGTTCCTTGGGCAGAAGGTGCAGGGCCCAAAGAGGAAATAGAACAAATTGTTTAAAATTCTACTACTCCTGTAGAAATGATTGGATTTTGACTTAGATTTTGTCTGAACCATTCTTGGGTGAAGAGGACTCAACTTTGTAAAACAGTGGGTTTCTTGGGTAGTGATATATTCAACTTTGAATTTGAGATGTCTTTCTTACTGTAGGATGGGAGGACATACAAACACTGCTTTAAATGTGACCGATGTGTGAAACCTTCTAAGCAACACTGTGATAGATGCAAGATGTGCCAGCTGAAAGACCACAAATGTGGTCAGTCTGTGCCTTATGGTCAGTCCTTATATTACATTTTGTATTTAATGTTTATGAACCTGTATAATCCTGAAAGGTAGAAACGATTCAACCAAATTTTCTCAAGTAACAGTCTACATATTTGTTTGTCAATGGAAAGAGATTAACATTGGTAGAAACCTCTCTTTTTGGTTGAGGAAAATTAATGTATCGCGTTAAAAGCATGTATACTTGATTAATTATCAGGATTAACAGTTGGAACTTTGTTGATCTTAATTTCCGTAAGCATATATCACTGGTGATTATATTCCTAGCAATGATCTCAGAACTGTTGATGTTTCTTCTGCCCATCTGATGTCTCATATTGAAATTACAGGATGTCACATATGTGGAGCTCTTGATCATAAAAGAAAGAATTGTCCAAAACAGGGATCAACAAAAAGGTTAGTTCATGTTCAAAATTTAGTTGGTCGTATACTCTAATGATTGGTATATTTTGGAAGGTCCTGTTTGACACTACAGCAGTATGGAACAAGAAAAGTGTGCCATGAAAAATGTGTCTATTTTGATTCAAACTGAGTAAAATGCAAAACTTCCAATCCTCAAGAACAACAAGAGGATGCTGTGGTAGGGACAATAATTCTCTATGTAATTGGCAGTTTTATGAAATCTGAAATGTGATTGGAAAGGTGAATTCAAAATCAAGAAAAAAGACAAAGGCTGATATTTTGATGGAGCTGTTTAAGTAATAATAAAATCTGTTCTAGTTTCATTTACTGTTTCAGGAGAGCACCAGAAAAGAACACATCAAACAGACAGAAACGAAAGAGAAAGAGATAAAAGATTTTATAAAATAAAATAATTCTCAAATATTTAATGGAATGTTATTTTCTTTTGTCTTGTGACTATCTTTGACTGAAATAGGGGTAACAAGCTACATTTTGGCAGAGTTGTTCTTACCCAATGACGAACCAAAAGGAATCAATACCAATGAAAAGGTTTCCGAGTAGTGATAATTAGCATTCAATGTCAATATCCAAGATAGATGCTTGTCAGTCATCAATTTAGCTGTGCATCATCAGGTGGTGGACTGTTCAAATTGGTTCATCCATCCTCGAACAGTTCCTGTTATCATAATTTCCCGAGAGGTATTTGATGGATGATTTTAAGATTTCTTATGTAGGTTCGCTTATATCCTTCGGTTGTTTTTTCTTCAGCAGTACTGGACGGATCATTCGAAAATTTTTGTGGAGGTTCCCCTGTCTCTTGTTGATATCTAAATTTTGGCTAGTTATCACTGTCTTTGATTTTATTGTTTACAAATAATGTCCAGATGAAAAGGTTTTAACATCAGCCATCAACACCCCAGGAAATCATTAAAGGATACAACATTTGTAAAAAGAGTGATGGCTGTTCTAATTTTCATAAGTATGTTTGTTTTTGAAGTTACAGTTCAATTACAAAGGTCAAATCAAATCACTGATCAATGGATGTTTGGCTCTTTAAATCACCTTGACCATGGTTTTGCCTTCAACATTTCTTGGTATTGTAGTTGCTGGAGAAGTACAGGATGGATCACTCAAATTTTTCTGGATCCCTAGCGGTACATTGTCTATTTTGAGACTAATCAGGAAGAAAACATGTCTGACAAGTGGCCATCTTGGATTTTGAAATGAATAGTTTTGTTATCACTATTTCATGGCAATTATGCATGGATCTTCTGCAAGGTACCCTTGGTCTCTTACATGTGCATATCTGATCTGAGGACTGGTAGGAAAGAAATGACCTGTGAGCAGCCATCTTGGACTTTGGTAAATGTAGTTTATTTGTAAGGAAGTCCTGGGTTGATTATTCTCAGTCTTTATATATAATCAATAGCAAATAAGAGGAAAGATGAGAAAAGATTAAAACCATACAATTGTGAGAGCCAAGATCCTAACTTTTTGTGATTTGAAGCCCTATTTAATGTTTCTAAAGATCCTTTCATAAGACGATGAAGAATTTGTGTATCCTGTGGACAAAGCATTACAAAGGTCACAAAGTGTAAAGATTGTGTATAACCAGATTTCAAAAGAACAAAACAACAGTAAATAAGGTTTGATTTTTTATTGTCACACCCTTATCAATTCTTTTGGTATGTGACTTAAATATAAGCAACAGTAACGAACCATGTGGCGTCATACTTGGGTTTTAACATTATACGACACATGTAACTTGATATAACTGGGAATACAAGTATGTGTACTACAATCACATACAACTCTTAGAAACTTGTAAGTTCTGGGGACAGACAAAAATACAGGAGATTTCATTTTCAGATATGAAACATGATCAAAATTTGATGTTTATACAATTTCATTCAGAGAATTTTCTACAAAATTTCATTATTGAAGCAAGAGATTTTCAATTGTTACAAAAAGCAAGCAAGAAACATTGTATATGGGCCAAACCAAAACACACAAGTTACTACAGAGAACAAGCATCAAAATGACATGGATTTGTGATGGTACAATAATGCACTTTGTTCAAAAAGGGAGATAATGTAAAAATGAATGACCAGTATATAATAAAATTGATCAAATGTAAAAATATGTCAGAAACAAAGGGGAGAAAATTATAAAATGGTTCTACCCGACAAATGGCTATAAATAGTGATCAAAACAACCTATGATGAAAAAAAAAATGTGTACAAATGTTGTATATACTGACAAATGGCAGCCATAAAATCATTCTGGTTTATTTTAAGAATATTTACACAAGTATTTTAAATTAAATTTACTTTCTACATAACATGTATAAGAACCACAATGAAGTACACATTGCTTATAAATTTCCAATAAATGAGAGAATGACAAGTTAAAATGAATGCTGCTGCTGCAATACAAATGGGAAGATAGTTCAATGATGATTTAAAACTTATTTATATATGTACATGGAATGGGGTGTTTTATTACATACACAAAGGTTGCCCCATTAGAGTATTTGATACTCGGACACAAAGTTAAAATGTACACCAACAAAAACTTATTACAACAACGATACTTGATAGGATGAAAACTTTGATTCTGCGATCTTACCCCAAGGTCAGGTAAATCGGTAACTCTATAGAACTGCTGCCTATGTATTTACAGGGCAAACTACAGGGATGATGTCTTGTATATTTACATACAAACTCCTCCAAACTACAGGGATGATGTCTTGTAGAAGTATATACACTCTCCTCCAAACTAAAGGGATGATGTTCTATATATTTACATACACTCTCCTAATGTATAATGACTGGCGTTATTAATATCTTATGTGGCACAGTAGATAACAATATATACATAACTACAAAAGCTGTATCACCAAGGCTTCACAAATAGCCAGACTCCAAAACAGGGAAACAATGATATTTGCATAGATGAAATACAGATTTGTTATGTCTTTTGATCAACTTTATGAATCGTAAGTAACTTTCCTGAATGTTTACTCCTTTTAGATCCATCAAGACATCAGAATCGCGATGTGACATCAAAACAGAATTACTCAAATGACCAAATTTATCATTTCATGTGTATATTTAAATTGATTGCACATTCATATTTCTCAAGAAAATGTATTTAAATGTGATTCCAAACAACGAGTATATGTTTAACATATTTGAAAAGAAAAGAAAAAAATATTATAATTAACAGTAAACCCATTTATCAATGTAAAATACGATGATTTAGAATATGTCAAAGTAGACATTCCTAGTGATCATGTTCATTGGGACCAAATATCTGAAGTTCATTTCAAATTTCAATTTTCATGCAATCATTTTTTTAAACTTCATATTTGCGGGCCCACTGTCTTAAACACTAACTTCGCAGGATTTTACCTTTTAATTAAAAAGTACAATCCTCAAATACATGTATTTATAGAATTCAACTTTTTTGAAAATATACTTGAAACATTTGCATAAAGTTATTTAAAGACCATCTGGCCCAGGATGTTTTTCCTCTTCATAGACAAGTGTTTGAACTAACCAGGGTCACCTGTATACCTAGGTGTCCAAACTGAACATATAAACAAGAACCTCAAATGGCTGGAATCCCTAGCATGATCTACATGCACCAAAAAGGTTCAACTTAGCTTATATTGTTCCATTAAACACATCAACAGGTCTGGACAAAATGATTTTCTTGCATAAGGCATTAATAAGTCAACCTCAATGCATGCAGTACAAGTCTTACCAACAGATCTCATAACTGAACATATACCCCTTGGTTTTACACACTTCGAGTATAATAATCTCTTTTGTAAAAGCTTACAGGAAACAAATTTAAAATTCTATCTTCAACAAAACAGGACAAAAACTCTTTTACCTTTGCATATGTTCTTACTGCTATCACAACTACAATTCTTAAATAACATTGGACAATGTGTACCTTGTATATATCAAATAAATTGATCTATCTTAAAGAGTCAGACTGGTGATTTCTGTTACACATTTTTTCTATTAAGGTACATTTTCATTCATAATCTTGATTTTTCAATCTTTATATATTTTATAATAATCAACCTTAGATAATTTGATTTTGTTCTTTTCATAAGTTTCAATCACACGTGATAGTGCTTTAATTTCAGTTTTTGCAATATCACAAAAATGAAAACAATAAAAATAATAACCTGAGTATGACATTTGAAAGCTCCTACAGAAAATTGTCTTTGGTATCCAAGCTTTAAAATTCCAAAGTAACAACAAAAAGATCAGTTTAGAAATGGAACTCAAATATATACACAAATTTTCTTTAACCACTTTTATGGTCCAATTCTTATTTGGTAATCAACCAAACAACCAAATTAAGTTTTTGTATTAAAAATGAACATGTTGAGTGGATCCCTTGTAACACCATTATTTAACCTGTATAATAAGGCCATTCAAAAACATGAGGTTATTCCCCTTTCGCTACACATAATCTCACTTTCCATGAAAGACATCCCTATAGCCTTTTGAAGCAAAGAAAATGAAAATGACCTCACTTATTTTCAGGAAGTCCATTAAAACTACAGAAGGAAAGTTTCTTAATAGGGGTTGTAATTTGTTCGTTGTGTTGATGACATTATTTGAAAAATTTATCATAACAAGCAAGACTTCTCAACTTTTTTAGTTAACAGCAATTACATAATAAAGGTATTCATAAGGTCTATGATTTTATAGGGGAAGTTTTGTATATACTATCATATATATATATATAGGGTAGCTTTGTATACGCTATCATATATATATAGGGTAGTTTTGTAAGTTCTTTCTTATAATATATAGGGTAGTTTTGTATACACTATCATATATATATATATAGGGTAGCTTTGTATACACTATCATATACATAGGGTAGCTTTGTATACGCTATCATATACATAGGGTAGCTTTGTATACACTATCATATATATATAGGGTAGCTTTGTATACACTATCATATGTATATAGGGTAGCTTTGTATACACTATCATATATATATAGGGTAGCTTTGTATACGCTATCATATATATAGGGTAGCTTTGTATATGTTATATTGATCCAGCAATAACACCATACCCCAGTGGTATGTCCGTAGGAATATCAACTGATCCTTTATCAGATTTCTGTGGTAAGTCCATCTCCGAATCTAGTTAGAGACAACAGGTTGGTCCTTTGGACCTATTGCCAGGATAAAATATGGTTAAGAGATGAAAATATGGTCATTGTTCCCATATTCAAGTTATTCAGATAAATACAATTCACTATTTTCCTAAAGTGCATCGAGCTTGGTGATACATGTGTATATATACACTTGATTACAGTGAATAGCTGCCTCTGTCAAATCTACCACAACCAATATGCCATATTAGGTTAAGACATGTATTGCCAAGGGAGGGGTGATAGTCAGTGCTTGATGATATACCATGCTTAAATACAAACTACATATATATAGGTAATTTCTATAATGAGATTCTTTCTTCCCCATCATCCTAAGATAATTTTATTTTGTTTCTTAACTACTGTAATTCTACTGATAATGGATCATTCTTCTCCCCTTTTCTCACAAAAAAAAAAAATTATATCATATAAACTACAATGATAAGCATTTTGTTATTATTCTTTCTATTAAATTAGAGTCCTTCACCTTCTAAGAAATAACTTCTTAGAGACAATATACTATCATTAATCATTTTCAAATGCAATTGGTGCAATTCACTTACACTTCTGTTTAGTAAAAATGCAATACAACAAATTGATATTGTAGATTTCTATCAGAAACATATTTTCACTCTTGTTTTTAAAATTGTGAAGTGGTTACAATGTGTCAAAATTTGTGTAACACTAAAAAAATAAATAAGTTTGAAACTTAGAACTATAGAAAAAAATGCTGATTGAGATCCCAAAACAGTTCACTTGATTTAAAATTGTGCATCTCTGTAACATTGCTTTGCTACATTTTTGAATATACATCAAAATTATCATTTTCCTACCCAATTTCAATTTTTTAATTCTATGCCGGTATAACACACTTATATTTCTATATCTTGTGTAACACATCTGATTGCTAAAAATTCAAATTAGTACAGATATGCACAAATGTCTCTTCATGCCTTGAAATCTAATTTTCAAAATTTACAAAATGGTGAACACATACAGGCTACTCACAGTATGCTTCTTATGCATATTTTTCAGCATACAAAAATATTCCTACCTAACAGTAATACTGAAATTTGTGCCATTTCTTGCCAATTTATATAAATTTATTGAAAGAACAAAAAAAATCTTTACCATGTCTCCCTCTCAGTTTTGAGATCCCATGTGACTTTCAAACCACAATGACCTTGAGATTTTACATGACCTTGAATGAAATCCTCAGTAACCAATGATCTTAGTGACCCCTGATGACCTTGATATTGCCCTAGAAGGCACAAGGGGTGTCAAGATCCTTGGTTTCCATGAGATCAAACAAACCTGTTAGATCCTTTCAACAGTAATATTATGCCATAATATACATTTCAAGCCATTCCCCCTTCATCATATCAACCTCTGCATTATCACAGTCTCCAAAGTAAATGTTGATGCGTAGCTATATATTGCATTTTGTAAGACTTGCACGCACATTGTACTCTGCTCTAACATCATCCTAAATCTACAAGTATATGGCACATGTATATACAATGTGGTAAGCACCTCTCATGATATGGCCATAGACATTATTGCCTAAATTCAAGAACCACTTTTCATGTCTGAACACTCCAACTTCGTAAAAACTGCCGAACATTTGATGTTCAAAGTATTATTTCATTGTTTTGATATCTTCAACAGACATCCTTAACACAAAACAAGCACTGAATCAAGTTCAGTGAAACTATTACAAGATTTTAACGCAAAGCAAGTCAAATCAACATTCTTGCTTCACATTCTGTTGGTCTTGCACATTCTAAGTGATCCTCACAAGAACACTTATAATCCTATCCGATATGAAAAACAATTAAACAACTAATCAACGTTTTACAATGACTGTAAAAACAACCTTGAACTTTTGGTATAATCTCAGTAAATCTATCTGACCTTTAATTGGCTGATTACAACCCTTTTTTTTTCTAATTCTCTGATGTAATGCTATCTGCAGATCTTGTAAATCTTCACAAGATAAATGTCTCATGAAATGATAATAAAGCTCATATAACATTAACAAGCTTTCTCATATGGCATAACCAATCAAACGTCATGCATTTGTGGTTTCTTTCGATGTCGCTTTTCCTCCAAGAGATAGGATAAGTCCAGTCGCTGTTTAGATGGAACAGCTGCCAGAAGTTTCAACATCACTTTGTTCAATCTCTCCTTCTGTTCTTTTTTCTTAAAAATAAAAAATATTTCTTGTCTTAGGATAATTTATATGATAGGTGGGATTTTTTAAGCAATGAGTAAGGACCAATGAAGATATTTCAAGAGCCTGATAATTACGTATTGTATTATCATTCATATGGAAAATCATTTTCATTATTTCAAAATAAAAAAAATTCTCGCTGAAATTGTTTCTTAAAACAAAACAACCAGATTATTCTTTATTGAAATTAATTTTCACAATACAATCTCTTAAACAAAATAATCAACACCAAAAGTGTTTTAAAGTTAACCAATATAATTTGTGTTCTGCGACAGTGTTGTTACTGACAATCATTCCAATGACTTGTTTTGTATGGTTTGTTTATTGTGATAAACCAAGTAACCTTCTTTTAAAAGGGTTTGTTAATTTGAGAAAAAAAGAATCCAAAGTGAATTTTCTGGATTTGATGCAATTCTTGCAGTGGAATATGTTTACACATCCTTTTTTCATGTCATTTTGACGTTTCTGATAGCATGTTTAGCCAATGTGTAGATTTACCAATGTAAGGTCAATTTCACTTTCCTTCAGTATAACTAGTCCATTTGAGTGATTGACAGTGTCTGTGTATGCAGTATACCTTCAGGTACCCATGCAAACGAGTCCAGACGGATCACAACTTGTCCAGATATTGTTAGTCTATAATCCAGTGTTAGTGAAAATTAAAAAAGCATTACATACATCTTTGATCTCTACCTTTTGTGCCTGAATTCGGATCAGTAACTTTTCCTCATCGTCATCTTTGGATTGCAGGCAGGGACGTCGAGCTCGTCTTTTCTTTGGAGCCTCCGAGCTGGAGCCATTGACATTGCTGTCTCCAGGGCCACGTCTTTTGTAGGCCTGTGGAACCTCATGTGGCTGTGAAAAGAGAGGTTGTTATAGTTGCAGCTTTTCATGAATTTCTGTGCTATTAAGTGATGAAGTGCAAGTTGAATTCCTAGCTTAGAACAAAATATCCAGCCGCAAGCTACCTGCATATGGCTCACCATTCTCATCTCAAAAATGATTGAAGTCAAAAAATTTAGAAAACAAACCAAATTAAAACAAAACCATTTCAATAGAATGAAACATATCTGTTATTATGTTAAACTCACATTTGTTTAAGGACTGTGCAAAAGAAGTCAATAGGAAATTTCAAAGACGAATTGTCCATTTTCAACCCCAAACCCGCCGAATTGTGGAGCCTTTTCTACCGGTTGCCACTACTGCTTATTATTAATTCTATATAAATTAATGTGGGACCTCATCCATAGAAGGAAGACAAATAAATACCCCCATATTAATATCTTAAAAAAATATAATAAAATATAATGATTTTTGAAATAATGGCATTTAGCAGTCTGCTTACTGTGTCATTCATTAACATGCTTCTATGTAAGCTCTATTAAAACGTTAATCCTTAATAAAAACTTACAGAATAATTCCTCTTTGGCATCAGTCGCTTCTCATACTTATCAAAGCAGTAAGACTTGGTGTTAATAGGATAACTGAAACATAAACAACAACATTGTCTAAAAGTTACAATAAGGATCATTAATTTTTCAGGAGATCTGATTTTTGTTCACTTCCAGGGTACTCTTAATCAATTAAATCATGAGTCTACAAACTGCACATACCAGTCCATTTATTGTGCTCTCTTTATCCACGAAAGTGTCCAAAATGCAGTACTTTTGGAGAATTTTTTTAATACTCCAGTCAGGGTGAAAATGCCTTGAAAACATCATTTAAGTTTACTATGAGAATATAACATTAACCATCCATACAGAATTCCTGGAGAAGTGCTTACTATTTCCATCTACATCTTTACAACTTACGGGTGCTTGGATATCTTATAGAAGAGATGAGCAGTCTTGTCCAACCTGTATTCACAGATATAGATGTCCTGGTCGCGGACACCCTTGGGTCGACCTTTACAGAAAGTGTTAAGGTCTACCACACAGCATCCACCTACTATGCTGCCAAAAGCAACAATCTCATAGATGGGTACACGGAAGACCTCATTTGAAAAGAACTTCCGAGATGGTTCATGGAATGTCTCGTACGGATGGTAGTAATGGTGGCCAAAAGCAAATCTGTCACCTCTGTAAAATATGACAAATATACATATGAGAAAAGTGTCGAGACTGCAGAAGTACAAAGATCAAAGATGCCAACAAATGATCAGGTGTATGTTGTAAAATATATGCTGATTCCTACCTCTATCACGCTTGTACCCCTTCATATTGTTAGATTTGCTGCTTAACTCAAATCTTACCCCAACAAAACATGCTAACCTAAATATTTAACCATGTCAGTGAACAAAAAATATTGACACAGTGACCTACATTTGGTACAAAAGTGCAATTACTCCCTAAGAAAACACTAGCTTCCTAAATTTATCTATCTATTTGTTTCCCTGTTTCATACACTGTCAAGTTCACTGCTAGTTACATCAATGAATGACATACAAGAGGCCTGATCATACACTCTAGAAAAGGCCAACATAAATTCCTGTTCAGTTTTACAGTTTATTCAGATCAGTTGTATTTGGCCAACAAAAACACCCAATGTACTTCTGAGATTTTTTCGTAAATTTTCAAATTGACAATTAGTATTAAGAACTTGAAGACAAATGTAATATAAGAATGTCATTTGGACATGAACTATCATTTAAGCTGTTAACATTTGTCATAATGAATACTTCAAGCTGTCTTACTTTTCATCTTTCCACAACCTTTCAATACGGAATATATCTAACTTGTCCTTTCCGATTTCAGACACAACTTTCTGGGAGGTTTTCACAGAGTCAATTTCTACTCCGACTTTCTCTGGCATGTCCCGTATCACATAGACACAATCACCCACACGGATCTGGAGTTCATCTCTCATCAATGTCATGTAATATACCCAGCCTGGCGTGGCATCATCTGGCTGGGGATCTGCTAGGATTTCCTGTGACATTAGAGAACCATGTTGTTTATACAGGTCTCAGTGAAAGACAAATCTACAAAAAGCTGGGTAAAAACCTTGGTTGACATGTGTATGGAAGACTTCCCCCTTTGAACCCTTTGAAAGTGAGTTTTCAATTACATGTAACTCTAACTCCAATGAAATTATAAACTGAATTATCAACTCCTAACATATATCACTATAAATTTCTGTAATGTGAATATAAATGATTTTGTACAGTATTTAGTCAACATGAATTTTCAAATATGTTGAATTTAAAAAAATTTCACACAAAAGGATTTGAATGTTTGAAGTCAAACAATTGACCAAAAGAGTACTCACTCTTTCCACAGGCCTGCAGTTACAAAGTTCACACAGGTAATTCTCTACATCTCCTGCTACCTTCATACAGTCACAGTGTTGCCAGATCTAGAATGCACCAAAAAAAGTTATAATTCCACATTATCCCACAGATCACTGCACATTTTTTTATGGAATAGCACCTAACAGCTAAGAAATCAGATTGTTAAAATGCTAGTAGCTGCAACAGATTCAAAAAAAAAAATTATCAAACTATACCTACCATTTCATTTTGCCTTAAAAACATTTTTCTACTTACAAAACATTTTTCACACTGTATCATGAGCCCTTCGTCTCTGTAAATTCCACAGATACATCGGATTACCTCTTCTTCTTCCTCTTCCTCCATGGAATCTACAAATGCAAGAAAAATTGCTCTTATTATTCCAAAAAGCATTACATGGATATTTAACAAGGCAAAATTGACAAAAGGCCTTTCAATTCTCTAGTAGTAGTATGGCTAAGTAAATATAAGGCTTAATTACAGGAAGCTAATAGCTAGTGTTGTTTTCCCACTTTCAGTAATAAAATCAAAGACTTAATTACAGGAGCTATTAGCTAGTATTATTTTCCCACTTTCAGAAGTTCTACTGTAGACATCTGGTGGCCAATTAAGGAATGGAAAAGACAGTTGCCAGATGCCATGCTAGAGCATCATTAGCTGACTTTGAACAGGGGAATTGAATCACAGATTGAACAACACAACCAATTAATCTTTTCTCTCATTGAAATACTGGAGAGACATTAAAAGTAACACATACCCATGTTATCTGTGCCTTCTGTAGTCTCGGTCTCTGTGATTGCCTGCACATTGCCTTCTCCTAACACATCCTCCAGTAGGGGTACGGCCTCTGCCTTAGCTGTTAAATACACCTTCCTCAACTTCAGCACCAGAAGACCCATCCATGAGGATCGTCCACAGTACCTCTGAGAACAGGAAATGGATACAAATTACACATAGCAGAAACGATGGTCAACAGATAAGATTATTTCACTTATATGTTTCTATATTTTTCCACTTTTTACTAATCATGTAACATTTCAATTCCAACCACAATGGATAGTAGAGACATTAACTTACATGCTCTTCAAAATGAAATAGCAATATGTATTAGACAGCATGATTTAAATTTGCCAAGAAGTGGTTGTTTCAAACACATCTGTATGTTTAGTTTCCATTTAGCTCAATATGTAATCCTGATTTCCTTGTAGGAATGATTCCACTTTGTTTACCTCAGCATTTCTGAAGAGCCTGTTCATGTCTTTATCAAAGGCTTCCAGTGAGTTGTACTGTCCACTACAGATATTTCGTTCGATCATATGGAAGTCTATTGGACTCTCAATGACATTGTAGTATTCTGGATGTTTCTTCTTGGATGGTAGACTGAGTTGAGCAGACAGTTCCTTTGCATCTTCATCTGTGATGACGTTAAGAATAAATAAATTATCTTACGCAAGAACATACTTATTTTACTCTAGGAGTAATATTTGCCTATCTAATATTTCCTATTTACATTATCCAAATGGTCTTAAAGAAATATTCTAGCAGAATGTGTATATACTTTAATTTAAAGTTTACCATTTAATACTTCGCTGACTGCAAACAATTTTTAGTCTTTCTAATATGATAATAATGACAGAAGAGTACATAACAAAAAGAAAGTATCTATCCTTGTGTGTTGCATGAAAAAAAACACTTTTTTATTTTCATATTAAAATGTAAACAAATGTATGATTTTATTTTCTTACTTGGCTAAAAATTCAGCATTTGCTTTTTTATCAGAATTTTTATCCCTTAATATCATCAGGGGTTATATCTTAGCCCTCTGGGATTAGTGTAGGATAACTACTGCAATCTTACCTCGGTAACCGACAACAGCTTTTCTGATATTATTGAACACCTGAGCAAGTCTAGCTGTTTGAGTGAGTTCACTATTCTCCTCTGCCAGGGCAAGACGCCTGCAATGATAAGTTGATAAAATAAGTTAAATGATAACCAATTTTGAGAAGAACTCTTAATTTCATGAATAATGATCAGAGACATGCATCTGTCTTTATGTATTTTCAATGAGATGTAAAATATACCTAGCTGTCTCGATGAGTTGATAATAAAGCCAATGTCTTGTTTTCTCAATTTTGTTATTCATGTTTACATAATATGTTTTTTTTTATTATTTTCATATCTCACCTTGTTCTGACAGATCTTGATGTTTTCAGTGCAGTCAGTTGTGTGATAAACACATCTGTAAAATAAAAAATAATCATCAAACATCTAAAACCTATAAAAGATCTAATTAGTCAACAGTGTTGAAATTACATTCCTGTGTATAAGATCATCATGATACTACATCAGGAAGGGAGAAAAACAAGATCTGGAAGTTCAGGTATAATTAGTAAAGGGAGATAAAAGTAAACCGTACAGAGATGAAGTTCAGGTGTTAATTAAACTGTACAGTGAAGTTCAGGTGTAATTAGATAAAAGTAAACTATACAGAGATGAAGTTCAGGTGTAATTAGTGAAGGGAGATAAAAGTAAACTATACAGAGATGAAGTTCAGGTGGAATTAGTGAAGGGAGATAAAAGTAAACTGTACAGAGATGAAGTTCAGGTGTAATTAGTGAAGGGAGATAAAAGTAAACTGTACAGAGATGAAATTCAGGTGGAATTAGTGAAGGGAGATAAAAGTAAACCGTACAGAGATGAAGTTCAGGTGTAATTAGTGAGGGGAGATAAAAGTAAACTGTACAGAGATGAAGTTCAGGTATAATTAGTAAAGGGAGATAAAAGTAAACTGTACAGAGATGAAGTTCAGGTGTAATTAGTGAAGGGAGATAAAAGTAAACTGTACAGAGATGAAATTCAGGTGGAATTAGTGAAGGGAGATAAAAGTAAACCGTACAGAGATGAAGTTCAGGTGTAATTAGTGAAGGGAGATAAAAGTAAACTGTACAGAGATGAAGTTCAGGTGTAATTAGTGAAGGGAGATAATAGTCAACTGTACAAAGATGAAGTTCAGGTGTAATTAGTGAAGGGAGATAAAAGTAAACTGTACAGAGATGAAGTTCAGGTGTAATTAGTGAAGGGAGATAAAAGTAAACTGTACAGAGATGAAGTTCAGGTGTAATTAGTGAAGGGAGATAAAAGTAAACCGTACAGAAATGAAGTTCAGGTGTAATTAGTGAAGGGAGATAAAAGTAAACCGTACAGAGATATGTGTATAAAATGATATAGCTGATTTGATCAAGTTAACAATTGCCTGATAACAATCTGTTCTCTTAAGAGGTGTCTTTTATTCTTGCATAAATGACCTCTTAAAACATGAATGCTTGCCTACCTGTTTTGCTGAACCCAACCGACTTTGTAAATTCTCCATCTTTGTTCAGGGAGGTTGAAACCCTACTGCGGAGCTGTCGGACCCTGTCAATATTCCGCACCAGGAAAATACTGTGCTTCCGAGCCTTACATCGTTCTGTGTGGGACATGGGCTTAATGGTTGGGAATATGGTATTACTCTGCTCCTGTGCTAGTCGTTGCTGAAATAAATAAAGTTTTAAGTAAGAATCTATTCCACACCACTACAAAGTACTAACATAACAGTAAAAATTCTGAAGTATTTCGTATTTCAAACACTTTACTATAATTATTGTGAAACTATTTCCTGTTTTCCAATCACATAAACAATAAAAAGCAGGTTAAAGTATCAAAGTTGAAATGTAGGTATTGTATGTAGTTATTGAATAAAAAACTGGACAAAAGTTTTATAGGCGTGCAAAAAACCACTGTTTACCTGAATGCAGTATCTATTAGCTGCAGCACAAATGAAGCGACAATGTCTCAAAGTACCCATCACCAGAAAATGTTTTTTAAGAACACTGATGACAAGATGAGAGACCTTGCAATGATTACTATACCATATTTTACTTTTAAAAGGACTGCTTCTATTGTATTTTTTTTAAATGTTTCCCTTTAGTACTGGATTACCTTTTCTCTAAATTTCTTGAGTCTATTTTTAGACTTGCGTTTGTCCTTTGGAGGTCGGCCAACAGGCCTCTGTGGGGTAGTCTTTTCCTTACTCTGGCCGTTGAGTCTCTGAGTCTTGCCTCCTATGACTCCACGGCACTTCTCACTTCCACACTTACAGATTTGCTGTATATAGACAAACATAATTCATTACATACATTTCTGATCAGGAAGCGAATGGTTTGGAAAATCATTCACATTTAGTGAGAAAAGAAATTTTTAGCAAAACCATAATCATAAAAACAGACATTGATAATCCTATTTCTGTACACAATAGTCTTTTCATGTACTACCGGTAAACATTTTTGTTTCAGGGTCCACCATTTCCAGAAAGAAAAAAAAATCAATAATTCTTAACAATTTGGTTATTATAACACATTGAATATCAATCTGCCACTTTTACTAATCTCATCATTTTTATCTTAATGAATTATTCAATATACCATGAAATCTGGTTGACTGCGGACATGGATTTCTGTATATACAGTATGAACTGAAATACCGTCCAAAAAACACCCTAGAAGAAAGGATTCTGAATAACATGTTACACTCAAGTTCTATTATCATCATCCAAATGATACTCTAAATTAAACAAAGTTTTGATAGATTTTTTAAATAATGACCTGGCTGTCCATGTTGAAGGAGTGAAAGTTGTAGTCATAGCTGAGTTCTGTTCCTTCTGGTATATCTTTTAATGCAAACAGAGCCATCCGGTAGTACCCATTTACATTCCTGTAACAATTTTTAATTAAAATCATACATACAATAACTCAATTAAAAGCTTGTATTAATCACATTTCATTAGGAAAAACTCTCTTATTTAAAATTTCAAATGTAGTTTAAATGGAACTATTATAAACAAATACACCACATTATGAAAGATATAATGCATGTTCCAAGATAACTAGTTCTCTCTTAAATTCCATCATGATTTCACTTCTTTCCGTTTTGATGGTTTTTAAACACTTTTATCCATAACAAGAAGTGCATGTAACAAGATTATGTCCCTTTAATTACAGAAAGATCAACACTTGCATTATCATAACCTAGTTATCTCTGTTAGCTGTAAGAATAAATGAATGTGAAATGCCAATACAATGTTCTGTACTGTCCTTAAATCAACAATGTCATGAAATTATTTTGCTGTGAGTAACATGAATCAACAGTTTCTATACAAATTAGGCCTTTTTATCATGATGGTCCATCATTAAGACACACTGAACCACACACTTTTTTGTTTCTCAAAATAAAATGACTTAAAAAAAATCGACACAATACCACATCATGTGTTGCTTAGACTTTGTAAACTTTAATTATCCATTCATCAAGCTGGTAGCATATTGTGACGTGAAACCACTAGTTCCCGGAAGACTTGGTGCTGTCAAATTGTGATCATATTGATGATTTACAGGAAAAGATAATTAGTCTTTGCTATCCTTATTATTATCAAATACTTCAGTGGTTAAGCTATGGAGAGATTTACTTTCCTGAGATGATATTTTCAATGAACTTACACAGAGTAAAAACATTTTCATACAAACTACTGATGGAGTGAAGGAAGTATTAAAGGGCACCTTAATGATATTGACCTTTCACAATGGCATCCCTCAGGGTGTTTGTGATAGCATTTGACAGGCAGAGATTATAAAGTACTCCCTTGTTTAAGGAGTTGAAAACCAAGTTCAAAAACTGGGATCAACGAAAACCTGAAATCAACTAAATGGCTGCGAATTTGTCAGATTTGGTGAACCAAACTGTGATAGCTGTGAATGCAAGGATTAATATGATTTTACTTACCACTTTTGCATCTCGCAGTTAGGTTCACAGGAGTGGTTGACAAACCGTCCTATGTTGCCCATCCTGTAACCATCTATCAGTGCCCCACTATCGAGGTTGAGACAGTAGTGGTGACGTTCCTGGGAGTAGTTCTCGGTCATACGGCGTCGAAACTCCTGCTCACTAACAACTTCTCCAAGGTACTCCAGGATAAACTGACCTGAAGAACAGAAATCACAGTTATGAACTGCATAAATATATTTAGCCTAACATTGAACCATTAATTATGCAAATTCTCAGTTAAATTTGACAGCAACTGACAAAGCTAATCTCCAATTTAGGGCCAGTGATCATTGTTAGCATGTGATCTCATTACACTATACTGCAAAATCATTAATTTTCATGGGTGATTTATTTTTGTTAAATTCCTTATCCATGTATTCATGTCCACATACTGTTAAAATTAGTTTAAGCTGATTTATTGAGTTATAAAATGAAATCTTGGAATAAAGCATAAAAATTGAGCCCAGTGAAAATATGAGATTTTACATTATCTTGTGTATATCGCAGTAGTTCATATTACATTATCATATCCATCCCATTATTAGTGTACAAAAGCCACTTGTCTAATACCTTCAATTACCTTTTTCTCTCTGTGCAATCTATAAATCATTTACCACACAAGGCTTTCATATGAAAGTTTTTCTTAAAACAAACTCTTTTGTAATGTAACCTCTATTACATGTTCTAAAGACACAAAATATTTTTGTCTATGCTCTCTGTTTGCTTGTTGTAGAAATCAACATGCCCTGAAACTTAATATGGCTGTTTAATTGTTAAGGCTTTCAAACAGGTGATTGATTTTCAATAAAGATGGCAGTATATTCAAAACTCGTAATAGCTTTCATTGAAACGGCATGCTAATATTTCAAGAAAAACTGGCAGTGTGGGACAGTCTACCTGTATGTATAGATTGGAGGGTCTTCACTCCACATCCTCTATCATCAGTTGTGAACTTCTTGAGACTAGGCACCCATTCATGTTTCTGGATCTTCTGATTGGAGCATCGTTCCCCACATGGACAGGTCAGGGGATTGCACTCGGTGTAGATTAGTCTGTTGAGGCAGTCATCCCCACATCCAACGACATCTTCATCATTTGGTTGCTTGCAGTTACATGCATGGGTTTCATATGGGCACACTGGCTTAATATCGTCATGTACGTCTGAAAATTTACAATGCATGGAGTGAACCTAAGTTGGTTGTCAAGCTAGATTTCTTGTGCAAATGATATGTGAAGACACTGACATCAGTCAAGATAAGAGTATTTTTATTGCTTAACTCTACTAATAATTTCTGATACTTCAATGAATTTCAGTCCTGCCTTTATAAATATCTCAAGTTCCATTTTTCTTTTAAAGTGATCTCCAATACTTTTTTAATTAATTTTCTTTATTGTAAAACAAACGCTCTTTCATGATACTGTGTACAGAAATTCGAGTGAAGGAAAGGTATCTTTAACAAATGGTTGAAGAAGCTTGTGTAATATCAAAGATATAACTTAAATTTGGCATGATCTATCATCCTTGGAAATAACAATGTAGCAAATAATCTGCTTACCCTAAATTAGTGTTTAAGTTATCAATCATAGGTAGAGAATTATATAAATATGCCAATTCAATTAGTCAGGTCTTTTTTATATGAATGTATTACAACATTTCCACATGTACTCTTTCCCATTAGGTCAAATACCAGGAGGATGGGAGAAGTGTATGGAGTCAGAGCCAAGATGGACTGGGCTGATGCCAACTCTCCTCATTCTCACTGCATTAATTGTGTAACACAGACAGTGCAGACACACCTTAGCTACAAAATGCCACTTGTATAATGGTATTTTAAATGATCTGCAAGTATGATAAAATTTCCTACACAATATTTCAAGTGGTTTTTCCTTGGTAAATTAGGACATCAGATACTATGAGCAAACACTTAATTTCTGTTTTTACTTCTCAACAAATAAGTTAACAATAATGTTTATCACTTGTATCTATGAAAATACAGAGGCAAGTTTGTCAATAGAAATACTAACATACATGACATACTGGTTATAATGAAGCAATTTTGAAATTTTGTGAACTTGATTAAAGCCATGTTTTATTGGTATTAAATCTCCAGTGAAAATTTAACATTACTTAGAGCCTTGGCTACAGAAAGGAAAACAGGACTTGACTATGACAAATGATAAGATGGGCATTTGAGTGAAATTCTATTACACATGCATGTTAAAAACAAAATGTCTTTTTACCCATTGCCAAATACATTTAAGCACTTTAAAACTGCATGTTTACAATAAAATGGATTTTATCAGTAATTGTGACGTTTCTGCATCTTTGCCAAGTACTTGGGATCAGCAGGGACCATTTCTATTTTTGATTCTGAGACCACACATGTTAACTCTATCAGTTTATGTGTTCCTCATGCTCAGAGATAAGGTTAATTGCTAACTGGATGACACATATTTCTGGATAAAAAACACCCAACTGACATGATTGCTCTTGTAAGTCATAATGACATTCATAACTGTCTAACACTCATTACGAAATCCATCACATACTTCACAGATCACATGCTACTGTTAGCTCTGCATTATAAACACTCAATATAAATATATTTAAAATCTGACTGTATCGTTACAATTACATCATAACACATTCATTTTAGAAACTGAAAATTGTTGATTGAAAATTAAAACCAGCAATATACAATATGTAAGTGTCCTAATGTAACAAGTTAACATGTAATATTATCAGGGGATAGAAATATCAGTATGAAGTACCAAACATAATGTTCCCACTTCTCTGTAGATAAAATTAGTCTGCTCTATTGAACATGTGTGACATACAAGACACTGTTCCCGTCTTACTTTTATGCTTCCTTTGCTAGACACAGTAATAAAACTGTTATACATACAGTGTAAAATATTCAATGTCCTGAAGAGTGATACTCCATTTTCTATAACAGATGATAAAGATTTTTTTTTATCCCTGATTTTTTTTAAGCCTATACATTGTACATGACTCACATGCAACATAATGAGTCATTTCCCTAACCATCATGGTAGCAATGACCACATCGCCCTATTTTAACACCTACTTCGAAACACATTAAAACTTTACAGTTCATATATGGCCGCATCATGCATACTCAATGTCACACATCTCAGATATTAGGAAGTATGTTTAATTTGATCTTTTTAATTTTTACTAAATATCTGATTCATCACAAAGGCTGTTGACGCCAGTCTTATTAATAGCTGTATCTGACCTGATTAAAGAATATCACAGATATTTTTCATAAAAGTGATGGGTCTTTCTACTTTGTTAAATGATATTTCCTCATTAGCGTCAATCTAAAATAAAATTTTCTGGTATGCCAAGACATGATCATTCTATACTCTTTATCCTTTAATAGTGACCAGAAGAATTAACACAAGTGTGCATTGTGACACACAAGTGTACAGAGTGACTTACAATAAGTTTCCCTAACAGAGTAAAAAATACACTTGATGACTCCTTTACTTCTGTGTCTTTATTGTATGTAATCGATTTAAAGTATGAAATTAGACAAGCATAGCCAAAGCCATTATCTATAATTATCCTGTTCACTTCTTATAAATGAAAAGAATTTGTATATATCATCATCATAAAATTTCATTTATCAGTAATCAACATTAAAAGTAGCATTATACCTTGGAATTGAAACCCTAATAGTGTACAATTTAATAAATTTACCCAATACCCATTTATTGAGAGTAAGACAACTAGCTCCCCCTCCCATCTCTGCTGCAGCAGTAATATTTTAGGCACTAGTAATGAGTACCACATGTACTGTGGTTGCACTAGATTACAATACAGGGTGTACTTTTACTCTGCCTGTGTCCCTATGGCCAAACACTCCTGGGCTGACTGTGGTTGTGTGTCTAGATCTGATAAAACCTCAGGTCATTTCTATCCTAACTAGTACATAAAAGAGACCTAAGACATTTAGAAATGTACTTTTTTCTCTCGACTATTGCAAAATGAAACCAATACCATTCTGTTACAACAACGACAATACAAGTCAGTGTTCAATACCTGCAGGGAATATCAAAGTATTATTAGGATTCCTAATGAAAATTGTACACCTTGTCCCTCCCCAATCTTTTTTTTTATAAATACGACCATATAATCACTTAATCATTTTTGACAGTTTCCTTCACAGTAAATATTTACATCACATCACAAAATCACTAATGGTTTTAAGTACATTCATTAGAAGACAATTTCTCAATACATCTTTAGTTTATATTTCATTTTTTTTTTAATTATAAGTAGAATGTCAATCTCCTTTAAGTGAGAACATCTGAAGTTTCCATACCTCTGTTTTATTTCTAATTCAAAAAGTGACCTTGGATTTTGTTTCTCTGCCTCTTATTGCCTTTCCTCAACTCAATTTTTCAACAGATACACTTAAACAGCATGTCACAGCATAAGAAACACAAAGTTGAAATACTTAAGAATAAATGCAATCATCCATCTTAATTATTCCTGGTAAACTTCATTTTAACAGGTCAGTATTCCACTCAGTTAACCATTTCTAAACACATATTTATCAAGGCAGGAACTGTGCTCAGTAACAATACACTTTTTTAAAGAATGTGACCCAACAGTGATATCATCACACCTTTCTATAATTGTGGCCAAAGAAATGTGAAAGTGGTTTAAGTCTAAGATGATAAGATCTTCCAGAATTTGTCTTAAACTGATATGGCTTTCATCATTTTATCATGATATATGATAAGCTTATAGAAGAGACACAAAACTTCTGTACATAAACATAATTATGTAAATGTCAGTAAAGATGGCTACTGACAGCCATTCCAGAGCAGTTCAGGGTCTGTGTTATGTAATATACACAGGAAGCACTGTGTGCTCCTGGTCTGAGAGTCTAGAGTAAGTGTACCAACAACCATTTCCCTTTTCAAGGACACACAGCTCGATCAGACATAATTACCTTGTTTGCTTTCTAAAGAGGACTATCTCCATACAAGATTAATCTTTGGAGGCATTTAGTTTCAATAAACTTCCATGTAACATTTTAATGGAATGTATGTGTCTGTATTTAATATGGATGGGTCTTCGAAGTGAAAAGGTGGGTTATTGTACTGATAAGCTGTTTCCTAGTATCAACACCCTAAATACACAAATATAACAGTACAACTAGTAACACACAATAAACTTCCATGTAACATTTTAATGGAATGTATGTGTCTGTATTTAATATGGATGGGTCTTCGAAGTGAAAAGGTGGGTTATTGTACTGATAAGCTGTTTCCTAGTATCAACACCCTAAATACACAAGTATAACAGTACAACTAGTAACACACAATAATCTACATCACCAATAACACCACCCTAAATACACTGAAGATTACCAAAGTATTACAACAATTTGCTGATCTTTCTGGTAACATTCCAGTTAATTTTGAATCCATAAATATTTCTTTTGAAACTTGATATTCTATCATTAGACCTGAAAGATTGTTTGCTCTCATGGGTGGGCTTACTTAATAAACTAACACAAACAACATCTCAAGTTTCACAAAAATTGACAACATCTAATTTGAAATTTTTTTATATTATAAGGACAAGTAGCTGTAAAACATGAAATGTGTAGTTTTATATCTAGACCATACATCAGTACAGCTGCAATATCCAGTTGAACATATATGACACATCAATTAAATTCAAAATGATCACACTTCAATTATCACGTGCTATACAGAATTAAAATGCAGACTTACTGTTTCGTATTTTCTTGTACTTCGTCACTGGTTCTTCCTTTTTGGAAAGCTGAAAATACACAAAAGAGAGCCAGCTATTAACCATCCTACATTCAAACTAAAATAAAGTGTTATAAAATAACAAAGCAAAACATTTCTAGAAGATGACTAATGATGATGTTCAGCAAATATATAAATTGTTTCTTTGATTCTGATCTGGTGATCCATCTCTAAAAACATGACAGATCAACATTTACCAGACTAATGTGGCCATGTGTTCCATACTTAATGAAAGGAAAAACATGAACTAAGTCCTTGGAGTGGGACTGAATAGAGAGAAAATCTGTTTGGTGACAAAGTGTGGGATAAAGTCTGTTGTGTGACCAAGTGTGGGAGAAAATTTGTTGGGTGACCAAGTGTGGGATAAAGTCTGTTGGGTGACCAAGTGTGGGATAAAGTCTGTTGGGTGACCAAGTGTGGGATAAAGTCTGTTGGGTGACCAAGTGTGGGATAAAGTCTGTTGGGTGACCAAGTGTGGGATAAAGTCTGTTGGGTGACCAAGTGTGGGATAAAGTCTGTTGGGTGACCAAGTGTGGGATAAAGTCTGTTGGGTGACCAAGTGTGGGATAAAGTCTGTCGGGTGACCAAGTGTGGGATAAAGTCTGTCGGGTGACCATGTTTGAGATAGATCTCAAACATAGATTGGATGACCAATTTGCAAAAAGACAAATGGTGAACTGAACAGTGCTGTTACAAAATGATTAAGCGAAGTGATAAAGGCTACTTCCACGTCTATGTTTCCATAAATGTTTTTAAGAAAGGAATTAAAAATTTAAATGATTTTTTTCTTTTCCTTACAGGCAGATCAATATTGCTTGGTTGTAAGTGAAGGACTGTATCTGGACCACTGATCGAAAAAAAGTATATAAATTGCCATGTCATGATTCAACTGTTTGTTATATGTTATAGAGGCAAGGACAGTAATTGTAGGAAGTTTCACAAATATATTTATTTCAAGTGTACTCAAAATGAGCTTTTTTTCACTTTCAAATACATGCAATTGTCATAAAGAAAGAAAACATGACAATAGAAGCCTTCTCTCCCAACTCCCCCATACCCCATAGAAACAGACAAAAAAACAAAAAAGTATATATTTAGGCAAGTACACATATATATGCTGCTACAAGCTAGAGTTTTAGAGTGTGATTACTCCATGGTTTGGTAAGGTACATAGCTGCATTTTATCAAGGAAGTGTCAAAGCATTTCTGAGAAAGGACAGCACAAGCGAGGTTAGAAGCCCTATAACAGAGTAAAAAGCCAGTTTAATGGTGATTGTGTGCCAACTTTGTTTCATAAAATGAGGTTTAATGCCAAGAGAGGTTGAAGATTTAAGTATTAAAGTCAATTTTAAGCCTCTCTATCCACTCTCATGTCAAGTCAACCCTTACAAAAACTGGTATTTAGCATTTAACAACTGCACATATATCCAAACAGAAGCATCTAGAGCCATCACCAAGGACTTTCCACATCATGAAGATAAGAGTTATTGTCTTGGTGTACCAATATGAAAATGTGCATGGAACAGGGAACTTAGGTGCACTTTTGGAATGTTGTTTTATAACCCGTAACATCCATCTTATCTCTGGGACCATGATGATCTTCAAAATACATCCTTGCATAGTGACCAAGATGGAGATGGAAGCTGGTTTTAATCTGCAGCTGTCAAAAACATTACCTACTGTATGCTTGGAGAAGCAAGCCCAAGGGTAATTAATCTGATCATTGGAATGCCTTAATTTCATTACAACAGAATCACACACTTTTCTTGCCAAATTACATACCACTTGAATTTTGTTATAAAAATAAATATGAAGTTAAACAGAGAAACTGACCTATTTTTTTGTTTTTGTTTTTCAACTTTTGTGAAAAATGATCTTTTTTGATATCAAGCAATCTCTTAAACAAAACAAGATATAATTATTGTATAGCTAATTATTTTCCCACCAATTTCTGTGATTTTCATTTAACAGGAGAGAAATACATTTTTAAAAAATAAAACTTATTTTTATGAATATTGTTCCAGTTATAAAAGTTTCAAATTGCTCATTTAAAGTAAAAAAACCACTATGATGATTCATAATGATGATATTTCATGTTTTAAGCAAGTTTTGTGTACTGTGTAACATATAACCTAAAACATTTGACTGTAATTGTCAAAATACACTTGGATAATTGGAGACAGACGAGTCCACTAGTGACAGTTAGGATAAGTGTTTAGTTGCAGTTTTATTATGTTATAGAATATATTACATGTGTCTTATTTCACGGATCAAATTTCTGCTACATCATCTTAATGCCCCAGAACACAGCCAACATATCACGCAAAAATAAGTGACTGCATGGTATCATACATTTCTTCACCAAATCATATTTTTCAAACTGAAAATATAACATACTACCAATGGGTTCTGTAATATTTTCATTCTAGGTAGAGTTTTTACCATATCAAGGAATGATGCTGGAATCTTTCTTGAAATTCCATTCTTTGATTTACTTACATGTATATTAAAACCTGAAGTAGCTAATTCTTGACACCAAAACATTTACTATTTAGCATCCATATTTTTCTGTACATGATTAATATTTTCAATGAACATTTGGAAATGACAACAACAAAATGTTCAAGTCCTGAATATAAATCAACATTTTTTGGAAAATCTGAAACCTCCATTAAATAGAATACTGGATATTCCACAAAAACCTGCTGATACAAACAAGAAATAAGAAGCAGCTGTTGCTTTGTAGACCCATCTAGTAGGTTAATGCTTGACAATGTAACTACAGAGTAATACAAGTGTGAAGTAGCTTAAACACAGATAATGTAGTGAACACAATAGAGATATGCTGAATACGCCAATATGGTACACACAATCTCAAAAAGCGATTGGTAAAGAAATACATCGTCAACATATTAAGTAGATAAGTGAAGATGTTTGCACACGCACACGTGGTACTACATTTAACTGTATTACACTCAAAAAAGATCAATACATACTCTAAGAATCAAGGATTAAAAAGATAAAGATATTTATATACTTGTTACACCAAAATGTTAGTCAAACAAACAAGTACTGTATTTGACTTTAAATGTCCTGAACACATCCGGTAGAAATATAGGATACATATAGACTTCCAAAGTTTTCCAAAAATACCCATGAAGTAAATTTGTAAATAATAATAAAAGGAAGGAGATTCCCAGACCAGAAAAAAAGACGGAGGCACTTTTACATCAAATGTAATGGGCATTACATAAAGATATGACATATGACAACCACTACGGTTTCCTAGGTAACAGACTCTAATTACAGTAGATCACCTTGTATTATTTATTTCCTATAGTAACCATTGATCAGTAGTCAAGCATCACATGAAGAAGGTCAATTCAGGAGATCAGTGACAGTAAGTGAGCATGAAATATTATTCTACCGTAGTCAATATAAAGGAATAGTTTAAAAGGTAATGATGGCTGACCCACCAGAGGGTAAGAATCCCTTCAACAATAACAAAGCTAAGATGATAATGATGCATTACACTTTCTAACATAATCATTATCAATGAAGTTGTGCACCATTCATAAAGCTCAGAGTACAATAAATACAGCAAGCTAAAGCTTGGGCACATTTAACCATAAGCATCACATGTACAACAGTATGACTAGCTATGATCAGGATCCTTACTCATACATATATGGAAATTGGTATATCCATTTAAATTTGCACCCCTTATTAATTATTCTTGAAGGTTTTTAATGTCTGATTATCTGTATTGTAAGAGGAAATTAATTCCTACTTGAGGTTTTAAATTTCAATTAATTATTGTTGGATTTTTTTCACGGTGTATAAATTGATCCTTTAAATGATATACCAGGCAGAAATAAGAATTTTTTTCATACTGAATTCCACATTGAATTCTATATCACAGGAAAAGATATACATTGAACCACTGATTAACTCGACACTCATAACATTAAAACCCTGAATACATGTTTCCTACCACCATGCATGATGTTTGTTAGCTATTAACACATGTTTTCAGTTAAATGTTTAACTATCTTGCATGTTAAATTTAGTCTGGCATTAAAACCAAATAAAATGCATCCTGTATTTCTGACACAACAAAACCTTGATTTCATTTAAAGATGCTGACCACAAATCTACACTCGCTAAACTCCATCTCCTTCCATTTCAGGAACATGCTCTTGGTTAGGAATATGGAACTACAAATTTGGTAAGCAGTGGTTGATGACCAGACAAATGATATTCTGATGGTTTATAATAATTTCATCGAAGAATTACTAGAAATCAAGATCTTATTTGAATTGCATCATATATATATTGCTGGATCAGAAGTCATTGATTCTGTATATCGAAGTCAAAGCAAGGTTAAAGCTATTGATTAATATAGAATGAATGAAGCACCATTACGAAGCATTAAGTGTGAGATTAGATGCAAGTGAACTACACTAATCTATTCATCCCAAAAACATATTAGTTCAATAATGCAGAATGACAAGATAACATTACCTGCAGTGTTAGTGTTAAAAGCACAAATATATACTGCAAATAACAAGTTTATTCAAGCTCATAATGCTGAATGCCTTCCATAAAAAATGTGACCATTATGTAAATGTTATTTCAAATTATTAAAAAAATTTCCTGGTAAACCTATACCACTGTCTAACTTCCATTGTAAATATATAGATCAGCATTTGATGTGCCCCGGAGACATACGCTTTAACATGACAGACTGGCAGATGTCCCAATAAAACTTTAAACTGTACTGAAGCAAGAACTATAGACCTAACAAATGCAAGTATTGCTATATTACAGCATTATAACGTGTGTACAGGAAGCCCTTTGGAACTGGGAGTGTGGTAGGGATGGGATTGGGTCTGAAAGTAGATGTCCAACGGTCACAGTATCAGTGAGGTGGGACGTCATACTGTTGTATATGTCGGCCTGTTAGAAGCATGACTGACACACAGCAACAAAACAGTCTTTGTAAGAGTTTACCAGATCATGCTCGTGCTGCCACCATATATCATAAGGGAGGACAAAATCAGAGAGTGTCTCCCGTAAATATTTTCCCACATGTAGAGGGGGCGGAAGCAGCTTGTGCTGAGACACTCTGCACACATACACCACCTTTTCTTTGGTCCGGGGCGCAGACTCCAGAGATTTCTTCTTTGGCCTGAAACAACAACAAAAAAAATTTTGACATTAGGTATCATAAATACCAATATGTATGACACACTAAATCATGATTGAAACTATTTTTAAATACAACACTAGTTTAAACACAACACAGGTATGATATATCTAAATTTATCACATTATTGCCTTTTTATTCAGTGAATATACCAATGTCATATTTTTGTAGAAGACAAATGTGTAATAGAGCTTATTGTGACATCACTTTAGAGAATAAAACAACAGCAAATATTCACTGATGGCATTGTGATGACCAATGGAACCTATAGATATAAAAGGACCATGACTTCAAGTTCAATGTAGAAATGTCACAATTTTTTAATTTCAGATTGCAAATGGCATGTTAAAATCAAAACTTCTGACTCATTTCATAAATTTTCATATTAAATGGAAACTAGTTCAGATCCTATATGTATGTTAGTTTCAAAAAACATGATTTATCACACAACGAACTGTTACACCCATTACACAAACTGTCATAACACATGTGTAATATGAACTAGCTGAACTGTTAATGTGACGTCATAGCTTTGTGGCATTACATTAATGTGATGTCACCAGGGAAAATATATAGTGAGAATTTCCCAATTTAGATTTTTTTTGTCAGTCCATTAAAATGCTGGTTTTATAAATGTTTTTATTAGTATCGAAGTTATGTGACAAACAGAATCCCACTTTTGTTTCAAATTCATGCTATTTACTGTTTTCCAGTGTACCTCGCCTGTGGCACGTAAAAATGAAAAACAATTATTTAAGACTTATTTCATGACCTACTATGATCTTCCTGGAACATCCTCTCGTAATTAGACAATAAGTATTTGTATCACTACCTTATAAAAAGGTAACATCTAGCCAAAGCTTTAGAGAAATGATTTATAGTGAAGAAGTTTACCACTTTGCAATGAAGTTCAATGTTTACCAGTAAACCAACACAATACAGACACATCTTTACACCAACAATGCAATATTCCAATTCCACATATAAATAACACAGCTGGAAACTGCAGGTAAAATACTAATACGTAATTCACAGGTAAGTTCCTGGATCCTAAAATTCATCTACCCTTAAGAAAGCTGAAAAGTCTTGTTTTTTTCCTTGTTGGGATTACAAAAGGACTTCTTTGTGTATGTTTTCAACACAAGAGGTATAGATATGTATATCTCAATGTGATGTATTGCTCTGTCAATATCCAACCTGATAGGCATACAAATTACTCTGTATAAAGTGGAAAAAGAGGTAAATGTCCTAAAAGTTTGCTAATCCCTATTATCAATCACTGTTTATGTAATATTTTGGGCTTGAACATCAGTTTCAAGAAATATACTTTTCATCTTAGAAATGTGTTCTCTATCTCCCCCCCCCTTCTATCTAAAAATTAGGAATTAGACAATTAAAAAGTGTTTTTTTTAATTATTTATTGTCATTCTGATAGTTTTGTTTAATTGAATGTAGATGTGGCATGTATGTCTAATTTGACTTATTTGAAGCAAACTTTCAAAAACTTTATTGAAAATGCACAAATCTAGGTGATTTTGCATAATGATGATCAGAATATTTCAAGTGAAAATGGGCCAATAAACCATTCTCAAAATTCTGATTTACATTTAAAATCCAAATATTGAATCATGTTTCATAACTTCATTATCATACTTGGATGTATCATTTGATTTGGTTCTCAATTTAAGGATATTTACCACACCAGACAGAGTCAAATCAAGTAGGGAGGATTCTTTTCAAACGATTGATTAAATAATGCACCACAAACTGGTTCTACTCAAATTAATGTTTGAATTGAAATCATGTATCAAAGGCAGGAATAAAGACTTAAACCGCCCACTATTCACAACCAAACACCTATCCCACAGATTTCTTTAGAGCACTGACTACAAATCGTCTTTGACCTTGGCACTTGGTGGAGTCTATCACCTAATCTGTAAGAGTACTTCATCTGTGACTTCAGAATAACTAGCAGTAATTCATGAATGTCTTATCAAAGATTCTCCAATACTGGTGTAATTGACAGACCAATAACCTGAAAAGTCAATGTTAGAAGAGGTATTAAGGAAACATAAAACCCTCAGGAACTAAAGTGATATAATGATGAGTTATATAATGAACAGTAACCAGGCCTTACATGATGTTTCATATTCCTGGCAACAAAGTAGAATTTCCATATATGTATCACACTTAAATCACATGGTGGAAGTTTTATTTAGTGTTTACAAGAGGATGTGTACTACACAGCGTGACATGCTGTGAGAGGAAGTAATGAAAATATCACACACCACCTTTCACTCTTTCTTGATAATTACTACACTAGCAATACACACTGTCCTCCATTGTAATCAGTTTGAGTTCATTTCCTTGTTGAGCTTAGCTGCTTGATGTCAGTGGATAACTTAATGTTTGCATGATAATGTTGAGTGCTTTCTGCAGCTTAAGTATGATCATCTTTGGAAAATACAAAAAAAAAAAAAACAAAAACAAAAAAAAACCCCAAAAAATGGCAGCAAGGTTTTTGGCAAATCCCATTCCCACAGAAATTATTGTATTTTCCTTCAAAGTTTAAAAAAAATCTCTTATCTTTATTTAAATGACCAAATCTAAAATTAATACTGAGCTGTCAATCTAACCAGCCTTTAACTAAATGAGGCTGACAGGTATATGTACACAGAGGGATACTTTACCAGTTATCATTGTGCAGTACTTGTGTGTGGACAAATGTAATTTGAACCAATCAATCAATAATGATAATGTATTTACAGTGTGATCTCCCTCACTGATAAGCAACTCATAGAAATCCAGTACAATGTGATGAAAATAGGAGAGGAAAAATCAATTTGTTTATATAACTTTCCACTCCTATTTCGAACATCACAATGATCATTGCAACAACAATAAAAAATTGTTTCTCTGTCACTGCTGAAAATAGATCAGCTGATGGAGACCAAGTGTCTGTTAGCAGAAGATGGCAGGAAAAATCACACACTAATATTGAATTGTAATTTGATAACGATTTGTGATAATAATTTTTCTCAGCCACATGAGGTTGCAAGAGGACCTGCACTAGTAAAATGAAAATAATTTTATTTCAAATACATTATCTCCAATCACTTATATGACAAATCAATTTTACACATGTACATGTAACAGACTATTTTAGAGAGTATTGAAGACATATCACTACTGGAATGATAGTTGTACGGCACTATTCTGTTGAGCCCTGTATCATTCTAGATAATATCATTTAGATGGAAAGCAATATAATTCCTATACATGTGACTCAATACAATGGAAATATAGAACATTTTGATAACAATCCAGAACACTTTATTTTCTATACGAGACAAGAGTGTACAGAAACTCCAGTTAAAGTAGAAAACATGACCTTCTTAACCACACTAGTCTCAGAAGTAGAAAACATGACCTTCTTAACCACACTAATCTCAGAATAGAAAACATGACCTTCTTAACCACACTAATCTCAGAATAGAAAACATGACCTTCTTAACTACACTAGTCTCAGAATAGAAAACATGACCTTCTTAACCACACTAATCTCAGAATAGAAAACATGACCTTCTTAACCACACTAATCTCAGAATAGAAAACATGACCTTCTTAACCACACTAGTCTCAGAAGTAGAAAACATGACCTTCTTAACCACACTAATCTCAGAATAGAAAACATGACCTTCTTAACCACACTAATCTCAGAATAGAAAACATGACCTTCTTAACCACACTAGTCTCAGAAGTAGAAAACATGACCTTCTTAACCACACTAATCTCAGAATAGAAAACATGACCTTCTTAACCACACTAGTCTCAGAAGTAGAAAACATGACCTTCTTAACCACACTAGTCTCAGAATAGAAAACATGACCTTCTTAACCACACCAGTCTCAGAATAGAAAACATGACCTTCTTAACCACACTAGTCTCAGAAGTAGAAAACATGACCTTCTTAACCACACTAGTCTCAGAATAGAAAACATGACCTTCTTAACCACACTAGTCTCAGAATAGAAAACATGACCTTCTTAACCACACTAGTCTCAGAATAGAAAACATGACCTTCTTAACCACACTAGTCTCAGAATAGAAAACATGACCTTCTTAACCACACCAGTCTCAGAATAGAAAACATGACCTTCTTAACCACACCAGTCTCAGAATAGAAAACATGACCTTCTTAACCACACTAGTCTCAGAATAGAAAACATGACCTTCTTAACCACACTAGTCTCAGAATAGAAAACATGACATTCTTAACCACACTAGTCTCAGAATAGAAAACATGACCTTCTTAACCACACCAGTCTCAGAATAGAAAACATGACCTTCTTAACCACACTAGTCTCAGTACAGAAACCACTGTTAAAATAGAAAACTTAACATTCTTTACCACACTTGTGTCACAGAACTAAAACTCCTGTTAAAGTAGTAAACTTTATATTCTATACTATACTATCATCTCTGTACAGAAACTCCTCGGTCTCTGTACAGAAACTCCTCTGTCTCTGTACAGAAACTCAGAAACTCCTCGGTCTCTGTACAGAAACTCCTCCATCTCTGTACAGAAACTCCTCGGTCTCTGTACAGAAACTCCTCTGTCTCTGTACAGAAACTCCTCTGTCTCTGTACAGAAACTCCTTGGTCTCTGTACAGAAACTCCTCTGTCTCTGTACAGAAACTCCTCTGTCTCTGTACAGAAACTCCTCTGTCTCTGTACAGAAACTCCTTGGTCTCTGTACAGAAACTCCTCCGTCTCTGTACAGAAACTCCTCCATCTCTGTACAGAAACTCCTCCGTCTCTGTACAGAAACTCCTCCGTCTCTGTACAGAAACTCCTCGGTCTCTGTACAGAAACTCCTCCGTCTCTGTACAGAAACTCCTCCGTCTCTGTACAGAAACTCCTCCGCCACTGTACAGAAACTCCTCGGTCTCTGTACAGAAACTCCTCTGTACAGACACTC